TAAGGGCGTGTCCAGGTGCTTTTCACAGAGTTACATTTCCTCAAAGGTCATTAGCAGTCTCTACCTTCAGGCAGAAGCACTTAGAGCACCCCAGTCTGAGGAGTGCCTCTTCTATTTTTAGCTTGAAAGATCTGAGGCCTGCCTCAGATCATCCTTCACTTCTGGCATCAGTCCCCTCAGACCAAGTCAGCAGTGGGAGGTTTACCACCACAAACTCAGTAACCAGAGGGCAACAAGGGGTGGGTGTGTTAGGAACCTCAGGCATGCCCAAGGCCCTAAAAACCAAAAAACAGAAAAAGGAGGAAGAAGAAAACCGGTGATGGAGGAAGGAGTGGTAAACTAGAGAATACGGAAGAAAACAGCCTCACTGGTAAAGAGCAGCGCCGGCCGCCCCTCCCTGTGGGGGTTCACATGGGTTCTGCTGGGCCTCACAATGACTTTGCAGCGACAAGCCATGGGAGGCGGCGTGTGGCCTGTGAACAGTGGTTTATCCTGTGGGCCACAGACTTCTTGCAAGGAGTCTGACTGCATATATATACACCAAGCATCGTACAAACTGTAAGTCTTATACTACTGTTTTTCAAATAAACGTAGATCTGCTGTGGATGATGAAATACTTGTCATTTGTAAATGTCTCTAAGTAGTTGCTTTTTGCCATTTTTATTTTTTCTAATCACTGGTTAACTAAAGCCCAACAATTACCACATGGATCTGCAAAGTGTTTCATGTTAAAGGGGGCTTTATTTTCGAAAGATGTAAAGCACCTTCAAGTGGGAATTAATATATTCAGGTCCTAAACGTCCACTAGTAGGGGACAGAAAACATAAATTATAGTATAGCCAGGGATCAGCAAACAATGGCCTGTGACTTGTCTTTGTAAATAAAGTTTATTCGGACACAGCCATGCAATTTGCTTACATATTGTTTATGGCTGCTGTGCAGTATAGCTGGAACAAAGACGGTATTGTTGCCGCCCAACGTGGGCTTGCCGCAAGACATGCCAATAGTCAAGAGGCAAGGTGGTAGGAAAAAAAGGACTTTATTATTACAGCTTGCTAGCAAGAGGGAAGATGGCTGACTAACGTCTAAAAAAAACCATCTTAAGGGAGCACAAATCTTATAGCAGTTATCTAAGCTGGTGGGCTACAGGGGAGGGGGCTGGAATGCTGACCTTCCTGTCCCACAGACTGGGAGTCGCCACAGCAGATCCTCCAGTCCTCATTGATGGTGGCTATCAGCACAGACTCTCTGCCCGGGGGTCATCACACTCCCAAGGAACCCCAAAGAACAAAGGCATTATCTCATCGCAGCTGGGAGGCACATGCACAGGCAGGGGCGCAAAATCAACACAGTAGTTAGATTTCCTGGAGGGTGCACATCCAGGCAGGCTAGTTTGTCAGAGGCCATTCACAGTCACAACAGGGTTTCCTTTCTATAACATGGCTTCCCCCACGCCAACCTTGTCTTGGGCCGGTATCAGTATGGCCCAGAAAGCTTAAAATATTTACTATTTGGCCCTTCATAGAAAGAGTCTGCAGTCCCCCCACTATAGCATATCATGAGATACACTGCAGCTATTAAAAAATAAAGTCAAGCAGCCAGCCCAGTGGCGTAGTGGTTAAGTTCACGCACTCCACTACCGTGGCCCAGGGTTCTGCGGCCCGGGGTTCACAGGTTCTGATCCCAGGTGCAGACCTACACACCACTCATCAAGCCATGCTGTGGCAGCATCCCACATAACAAAATAGAGGAAGACTGGCATAGGTGTTAGCTCAGGGACAATCTTCCTCACCAAAAAAATAAAAATAACAAAATAAAGTCAACATCAACTATATATATGAACAGGGAAGACATTCAAGACATAATAATGAAATGTTTTATTTCTAACTCTCACTGCCTTCTGAGGTGAGTGGATCCCATTCACTTGGTTTTGTTGAGCTCCACGAGAGGAATTCAAGTTCTGGGGAAGAATGAAAACTTGGGAGGGAAAACAGGAGGGCTCTGGGCAACAGAAATGTCTGACCGGGACAGCCCCTGCACAGTCTGTGGCAGGACCACCCACAACCTGGCTCCAACCCCTCCACGTCTTATCCAGGGGTCTCCTGAGGCCAGACTGTCGAGAGTTGTGGAAGGAATGCCCCCCTCTTCTCACCCTGGTTCTGAAAAGGATAAAAAAGTAAAGACAGAGGTTAAAATATGACTGTGGTTTTAGGTCCGTTTACCTACAGTGAATCCCAGGATCAGGCAGACATCCGGACTGAGGCACCGCTGTGCCGGATGGGGCTCGGCTCCCCAAGTGGAGAGGGCTGCACAGGAAAGACATCAGAAATAAAGCTGAAAGAACTGCGTAGTAGGGCCAGTCCTTCTTCCCAAATTAATACAGTAGTCCCCCCTTATCTGTGGTTTCAGTTACCCGTGGTAAACCACAGTCTGAAAATATTAAGTAGAAAATTCCAGAAATAAATAATTTATAAATTTTAAAACGCGTGCCGTTCTGAGTAGCATGAGGAAATCTCCAGCCATCCTGCTCCTTCCCGCCCAGGACGTGAACCATCCCTTTGTCCAGCGGATCCACGCTGTCCATGCTAGCTGCCTGTTAGTCACTCAGTAGCCGTCTCAGGTCACCAGATAACTGTCACAGTATTCAAGTCACCCTTATTTTACTTTAATAGTGGCCCCAAAATGCAAGAGTAGTGATGCTGGCAATCCGGACATGCCAAAGAGAAGCTGTAAAGTGCCTCCTTTAAGTGAAAAGACGAAAGTTCTCAACTTAACAAGGAAAGAAAAAACCGTATGCTGAGGTTGCTAACATCTGTGGTAACTTTTATTATAGTATATTGTTATAAGTGTTCTATTTTATTATTATTGTTGTTAATTTCTTACTGTGCCTAATTTATAAATTAAACTTTATTATGGGTATGTACGTTGAGGAAAAAACATAGTATATATAGGGTTCAGTACTATCCGCAGTTTCAAGGCATCCACTGGGGGTCTTGGAACGTAGCCCCCACGGATAGGGGGGACTACTGTAGTCGTGAGATAAGCTCCGCCTCGGAGCTGCGAGAGGCCAGGAGCATGCTTACGGGAAACTCCCTCTTCCTGGAAACCCCGAGTGTCCCCAGAAGGCTTCTCCAACACCCACCTCAATGCGCCCACATAGGGAAGGACACATGAAGGCTGAGAAGCTGTGTCCACAGAGCAGAGAGGCAAGCCCCTCACTTCGCAAGCAAGACCCTCTTCTCTCCCAGGACAAGTCACACTGCACCTGCACACACCTCCTGCCTTCCCAAGGGAGGAGACCGCAGTGAGGACCAGGCGCCGGCCTACGCCTGCTACAAGAGAAGGAAAACGAAGGCTGCTCTCTGGCAGGGCTCCTGCCATGGTTTTAATCGTGATTTTTAAACTGCGTGGGAGGGAGAGCAATGCCAACCCCTCCGACATCTCCCAACAAAACCCTCAGTGAAGTCCACAAAGCTCACTAATGCTCGTGTAGGAGAACGCAAGAAGCGCTGCCTTCTGCACGTGTGTTGACGGCAGCTGAAAACGGAGATGACACGCAGGGACTTGTGACCTGCATCCCCACGTCAGGACAGCACAGTGAGTTCTGGACACAAACACACCAAAGCCGTGAGAAGACGTCCCCTGAGGGTAGGGTGAGCGGGCATTTTCACCCTACCACATACCAGGAGTATAATTATAATCTTATAATTTCTTAACCTCTGTATTTATAAAACAGGGTAATGGTGAGGCTCGTGTAAAACTCTGCACATAAAGGCTTTAGCACAGTGCCCTGCACATAGTAACACTGATATAATGGTCCAGTTTTTATAATAAGCACGTATTTGCCTCTGTGATACGACATGATAATACTTGCTCTGCCTCCCTTACAGTGCCACAAATGTTAACTGACAGGCATGGAAATGCTGGGGAAAGTATAAATCCAGAGCCCAGATCTAAAAAGTACTAATTAGAGCACCCTTTATATAAAAATCATCCTCAGAGGGAAGTCTATAGCCCAAAATGCTTTTATCATTAAAAAAAAGGAAGGCAAAGATTCAATTCAAAATGGCCAACTGAACACAAAAATTTACCTCCTGTTCCTCCCAATATTCCCATTAAAACAACAGAGAAGCAGCAGAATTAAGAGTTAAACACCCACCACAGAGAGAATGGCAAAGGAACATCGGCTGACGAGATTTAAACACATTTCTGGAAAACTGGAAGTAGAGAGAAGACTGATGAGGCAGGCTCCTCATTTCTCCTGTACTTAATAATGGTGAATTAACTTCCCATTCATAAAGCCAGTGTTAGACAGTCCCTCTGATTATCCAATTCCCTGGTTCTCTGAGAGCAGTGAGGCTGAGAAGGGGAGGGATAGCATCACCTGGGGCCTCTGCCTAACACAGATGCCAGCTCCTCGGGCCTCCCAGTGGGCGGGGGAAGCAGGGTGTGAAGGGCTGGAGCACATGGGAACCACTATTCCAGCCCAACAATCTCGTTTTCAGATCAGAAATCAAGGATGAAAAATTCGAAGTCACTTGCTCTAGCTCAGAGCTCGGGCTGGAGGTGAAGCCCAGATGGGACCCAGGACTGCCATGCACTGCCCCCAACTCCCCACCCAAAGCCACCAACCACCAAAGTGCCCCTAAACAGGATGGTATCAGAGCATCTAGAAGCACAACTACTTGCCCTTTTACAGCTGCTGAGTCAGATAAGAAGTAGGACACTCAGTGAAAGACCACACGCGGAGCCCCAGGCTGCCTCTTGGCTCCCTCACAGCCTCTCCCTCTCTAGTTACAGTTCAGTACTTTCCTCAGACTTCTTCCTCAGCGACTCTTGTTTATTTTGAGAGTATCAGAAGTACCATGAGGATGGCTCATTGTTCTTCGCTCACAGCTCCAGAATCCCAGAACCTGCTCTGTCCCCTACAGACACCCTCCAGTGTCCCAGGAGCAGCCACCACTCCACCCCACACACAAAGAAAAGCAAAAGGAAAAGGATTAAGTATATAATAGTTTAATAGAAATTGCTCATTGACTGTAAATGATTCTATATAAAAGAATCTTAGTTTAAAACTGTTTAAGGATGTTGAAAAACATTTAAGAAGTCACACCCACCATAGGAGGTGATCAAATGCACTTGGGTGAAGTTATGTAAAAGCTGTTTGCAAATCGTTTAGGATCCCAGCAGACGCCTGGAGAATCTTTAGCTCTTCTGTCCACAATGTTTCTACTAAAGTTAGTTGGTTTTTCAAAGCCACTTCTTCATCTTTCATATGAGAAACCTGGAAGTTATTTTTAAATGATTTTTTCATTGTAATAAAATATACATAAACATAAAATTTACCATTTTGACCACTGTGAAATGCACAATTCACTGGCACTAAGTATATTCACAATGTTATGTAACCATCACCACTATCCATCTCCAGAACTTTTTCATCATCTCAAACAGAAACTCTGTACTCATTAAACAATAACTACCCATTTCACCCTCCCCAAGCCGCTGGTGACCTCTGTTCTACTTTCTGTCTCTACGAATTTGCCTATTCGAGATATCTCCTATAAGTAGAATCATATAATATTTGTTTTTTGTATTCTGGCTTACTTCACTTAGCATAATGTCTTCAAGTTTCAATTAAATTATTTTTTAATCCCAGGAATGTTTTCACTCAAATGAGCTGATTTCTCATTTAATTAAAACATTTACTATATAAAAATTTTTTAAAAAGCATACTTAAAAATCTATTACCAAGAATTCATGCAACAATTTTACCTATTACAAGGTGTAGAGGAAATAGTAACAGTCAAAAAAACAGAAATTACATCAACATTCATCTGTATAAGGCATTAAAGAATGCCATAATAAGGTGTACTATCTCTATCCAACATGCACAAAACAAGTAACTTCTTAATCAAAATACTTCTTTAAGAAAAGGATGCAATATTCTAGAAACATACCTTTTGAAGCATAGCATTAGTCTCTTCTATGAAATAATGGCATATTTTCTGAGCTATGTCCAAACTTGTCTTCTCATTTGTATCTGAAATCATTTCTCCAAGAAGTACTTTTTTCCAGCATGTACTAGAACCAAAATGTTCAGTAAGATCGTTTCAGCTGGCTCTCAAAAAATAAAGAAAGCTTTTACACTTCAACACAACACACAAACCCTTCTCCTATTTTTCCAGAAGCATAATAAAACTCATTCTATAAGCAGATTCCCTAAAACCTCACGCCAAATGCAGTTGCTGTGTTGAAGCAGACAAGGTACATAAAAAAGAAGGAACACTCAAAAATTAGAAGTACAGGGATGCACACACTTTGCAGGCAGGGACTGAATTTTATCATTCCACTCCTGTGTCTGGCACATCAGTAAGTGAGTCACATCCACCAGCCACAGGAATAGAGCTGAAGACAGAAGAGGAAGGTAAGTCCATGGCCAAAAGGACTAGGGACTAAGGAGCAAAGGCGGCAAAGTGTTCCTTCTCTTCAAGGGACGCTCTTTCTTCAAATATGGCAAACTGAAGGGAACACATTTCACAAAGTAAAGTGCTCTACAAGTGGAAGGAGGCATCTACAGTGAAGCCCTTCTCTACGGGCAGGGCATTCCCATTTTATACTACGAAAGTCTGTAGGAAATGGGGTTGAGTGGGTGAGGGGGGCCAACGTTCTGCAGGTGGAAGAGTGTAGGTGTTTCAGGGTAGGCGAGAGGGAACCACAGCAGGGTGCTGAGCCCAAAGGTGGCAGAGCCAAATCTGTACGCTAGGAAGAAGAGGGAACCAGGGAGCAAGAAGGTGGAGGAACAGATGCTGGGTGCAGAGAATTCGGGAGTAGAAGTTGCTTGGAAGGGGTAAGGTAACATCCAAGTGGAAGTATACACAGGTTGCTTAGAAATTCATAACAGCCAACAAGACACAGAGAGAATAAAGTCTTGAAGTCTTCAGCTTTAGAGACGATGGTTGAACCTCAGGAATAGATGAGTTCTCAGGAAAGAAAGCAAGGAAGGAAGGAAATTGCTATGTGCCAGGCACAGAGTTTCATACATAACCATCTAATTTAATCTTCACAATTACTGAGCCAAGAAGGCATTATTATCCCCGCATTAGACACAAAGAAACTGAGAACTGGGAATGGTAAAGAACCCACCCTAAGTGTACAAAGCTACAGAGCAGCAGAAATTGCATGCACACACATGTCAGACAGAATCTCACACACCTCTTTCTGCTACACCATTCCAGACAGTTTAAAATAACTCACAGGGAAGAAAAGAGGCCTCAGGATGACCCCTGGGAAACATCCAGTTGTTTTATTTAATTTGAGGTTGACATGCATGAAAAGAACTCACACTGTTTTCCAAGAAGGATTTGAAAAAGCTTATGTGGGTGCACATGAGATAAAATAAAATGTAAGATGAATGGACAGGGAAAATAAGACAAAGAAAAGATGAGAGGAGGAAAGATAAGATATACTCAGGATAAACCGCAGGCCTTAAAATCCTGCACATTTGGATGGACCACAAATTTGCCTCTGAGTTTTCTAGTGAACAGTAAAAAAAGACACATCAGAGGCAGAATTCACAGTGTGTGTAAGATAAATACACACCATCTGCTGAGAATAAACACAACCATTTCTGGTGTTGAGACCAGGGAGTAATTTCTCTCCCCGAGTCCCTACGGAAAAAGAAATAAGCAATAGCATAAACATAACAAGCATCATTGAGTGAGCACCAACTACTTCTAGACACGGTGCTAAGGGTTATTTCCAGATATTACCTCATTTAATCCTCCCAATCGCTCAAGGATGGGGTCGCCATCTTCAGGAGGTCCTCCCTACATACGGTTTCTCTCGCTGAGCTTTTGCTAAGTAGTGGGCATTACTTCCAATTCCCTGACAAGGACCCAGGCTGAAGGAGCTCCAAGGCTGGGCAGCACACAGTCCTTTCCATGCTGACAGTCATCACCACACTGGAGGAAGGACGGACAGCCTCAAGGGACTAGTAAGGAGCCTGACCAGGATGCGAGTCTACACTGGGGGTTCCTCTACCTCCCTCCCCCATAGAAACATCTAGGACTCTCCTAAAACAGGAAGTCTGGCTGGATCTGCCCCCAGGGCAGAACAAGGTGGAGCCCATGGTCAGGAGCGCTGCTTGCTCCCGGGAAAACCCTACCTACTCAGAGACTTTCCTTTCAACAGTGCCAATGCTCACACTTTTTGAAGTGTTTACCCTGAACAACCAGCTGCAGGTTACCAGGGGGAAATATCCACCAAGAGACTAAAAAGTTCTCAGGACCACGTACTCTAATTACGACTCTAAAACCAGAATTCCAGAAATGGTGAAAACTTAGAAGTGAAACACTCACCACATGAGCAACTTACATAAAGAATAAGTAATCCCAACACACAATGGCATTCCCTTCTCCTCTCACATTGGGTATTTGAATGTAAGCCAAAAAAAAAACCCCAAAGTTAGGACCAGATTGTAACAACAGCTAGTGAATAACACACATGAAACTTACAATTCTCCAGCTTCCAGACATAACAACTTGAGAACTGTGAGTAACCTCCAAGATGGCCCATCCCATCCAAATGTCAAATTTCTACAGTAGAAAAACAAATAACAATGAATCCATCATTTCAGTCTCTCATGACACATGGCAAATGGTTGAAGAGCCAAACATTTTTTTAAGGGGCTAACCATTATGTAACCTGCGACCTTGGTCACAAAGACAAAAGAGAAAAATAAGTCTGCAAATACTTAAGAATAAAGCCTGAGTAACAGAAAATTCTCTCTTTGTGTTTAAAAAAGGAAGAGGAAGAAAAAGCTATTTTCCAATTAACTTTGGTAAGGAGCTGAACTTAGATGAGGGGCCACAGTGAGAGGGTACGTATCACAGGTCACAGTGAGATGAATGATGAAGAATCTGGATTATCCTGGATGCTAAACAACTGGCAGCCACCACAGCTAGACTGCCCTCACCTTTCACTACACTATTTAAAACTTAATTTTAGGGCTGGCCCCATGGCTTAGCGGTTAAGGGCACGCGCTCCGCTACTGGCGGCCCGGGTTCGGATCCCGGGCGTTCACCAACGCACCGCTTCTCCGGCCATGCTGAGGCCGCGTCCCACATACAGCAACTAGAAGGATGTGCAACTATGACACAACTATCTACTGGGGCTTTGGGGAAAAAAAAAAGGAGGAGGATTGGCAATAGATGTTAGCTCAGAGCCGGTCTTCCTCAGCAAAAAGAGGAGGATTAGCATGGATGTTAGCTCAGGGCTGATCTTCCTCACAAAAAAAAACAAACAAAAAACTTATTTTATCTACAGAAGAAAATCTGAAAGGTAGAGCCTTTTACCCTGTTTATCCCATTTGGAATGGAATCACCTAGCCACCATCCCCGGCCTCCCCGCCCCAGGAACCTGAACCATGATGCTCAGTGACTGAGGGCCAGCCTGGCCTGCAGGAGCCCAATGCCATACCCCTGACTACCTATTAGAGACAAACTCACACTGTGCCACCAATCAAGACCTCTGGGGCTCTGTTTGGGGTACAATAATTTAACATTTCAAGCTTATCTTATGTCCCCAAGTAAGTTTCTTGAAAATGATCTTACACTCCTTGTGTGCCCACAACAGCAAGCACAATTCACTGTACACAGTAAGTGCTCAATAAACACCTACCTGTCAACTGGTACAGTCAGGAGATCTCTCACACCTATAAAAACCCTAAGCCTCAATTTTTTCATCAAAATTTCCTGAAGGAATAATTTCTAGAGACAGAAAGAAAAACACTTACTCTATAAAGTCATGATCCTTTAAAATGGAAATCTTTTTCTTTATCTGTTTATCTCTTGCTGGAAGATATTTAACAAGTATATCTACATAAAAAAAATCAGAATGAGAATTAGGGTGTCATTCCAAGAAAAGTGTGGACCTTTCCTTCTCAAGTTACTTTCCTTCCCATTAACAATCAAGACGTATAAACAGTTTTATGTAACTCACACCAAAAAAAGTCTATTCTTCAAATCCAACTCAATGAGTCATTATTTAGCCCTTGAAAAGCTGCAAGAACTCCAAGGCAGGGAACAAAACGTCCACAACTCCAGCTCATGCTCCCACCAAACACGTCAGCCAACAATCAGGTAATTAAGACATAAGCAGGACTGCCGGGAAGTTACACCCACCAAGAGTATGCGCTCTGTACAAACATGAGGAAATGTTCACAATATTAAGTTTTTTGAAAAAGTCAGAATTCAAAACTGTCTGGATATGAGTGACTGCAATCACAAACAACTGGAAGTGAATATGCAAAAATTAACAGAGCTACTTGGAGTAGAAGGATAATCAGAGATTTTTCTATTTTTAAAAGTCCTTTTTATATTTGTTTTTATTTTTTAAATGTAAAAATAATTAAATTTTGTTAATTTTATAAATTTCGTTCAAATCATTTGACAAATCAATATTTCATGGTCATGGATGTGCAAGTTACTCTGATAATATGAGGCTAATCTCAAAGCTAGTTTCTAAGAGACCCGACGAGGCTCAGTTTTTGTTCTTCTATTTTTATTTTGAGAAATAACATTATAATTCTGCCGACAGGATGCAGTAGTATCACCTTGACCAAGTTTCTATTTCCACTAGAACTTATACTAAAACCATCTCAAATTACACACTTGGTAAATCTCTGGCCATTTCTTCACAGCCTAGAAGACTGCTTCAGCAGATGGGGAAAAGATCAGACTTCTATATACTGTTGTTAACACTACATTTGGAATTTTCACAGCATAAATTTAATACCAATGATGATGCCTAGTTAGTAAGCCACAAAAGAACATAAATGAAATCAATACTTCATCATGGCATTGAACTCTGAAAACAAGAGCTGTGTAATACGTTTACTTCTGTGATTAGCACAGTGCCTTATGTATAGTAGGTGCTTAATAAGTATTTTTTAATTTGTTGCTCTCTAATCCTATTCTATCATTAGTGGCAGTGATAATGTCTCGGTACAAAAATTTACATTTCAGGGGCTGGCCCCGTGGCTTAGCAGTTAAGTGTGCATGCTCCGATACTGGTGGCCCGGGTTCGGATCCCGGGCACGCACTGATGCACCGCTTGTCGGGCCATGCTGAGGCAGCATCCCACATACGGCAAAAAGAGGAGGACCCGCATGGATGTTAGTTCAGGGCTGATCTTCCTCACAAAAAAATAAATAAATAAATAAAAATTTACATTTCACTCCATCTATTAACGTTGTATTTATTTCCTTAGCAGTTTTCCTTTTCTTCCATTCTATCATCTGACCTGACGCAATAAAACTTTCCTCGGTTCTTCTTCTCATCAATAAAAATCAATGCTTTGCTGTTTTTACTTCAACATTAAAATTATATGGTCAATAAGAGTAAGGCCAGCCCTGCTCAGGAGAAAATAAATGATATACATTATAAGGTTTTGCCATTTTTATTAAAACTTAAAATAAGCACATCCCCAGATGGGGGAAAAAAAATCTTATCATCTTAGTGATAAAAAGAAAGTTGGTTCCAACCTTCTGAGACATAAACACAAGCATGAGGGTTGTGGATGGAAACAAATCCATATTCCAGGAACAGCCGCTGGTTATCATGAGGGCCATAGCAGATGAACACCTCTTCATGCTTCCTACAACTTGAAACTGTTCTAATTTCATAACAGCGAGTTTCCTCATTAAATGCTGCTTTTACCTAGAAAGGAAAATTGTTAAAGTTTTTTTAAAGCAAAGCATAAAACTAAGAAGATTAAGTTATTATATGAATCTAAGCCAGATGTAGCTTTCAAACACTCATCACTGAATTTAACCACAAGTGGAAAAAACGCCACATCTGCACGTCAGCCTCTTTTGTTCACCCCATTGGTGAGGGAGGGAGTCCTGCCGAAGGGGTCTGAGGGTCCTGTCAAACACACAACACCTGACAATGGACAGATAAGACTGACAGCAGTTTATCACTCACATATACAGCCTGGGGGAAAAGGACACAGCAACCATGCAAGGGCCACACCAGGGCTACACTCTGGAGCACAGGGACCAGCAGGGGCCAACGGAAGAAGGCTTTGTAGTAACAAGAGGATGAGGTGACCCCAGTTCCTATGGGAAGATGTGATTTGCTTTTTGAGTAATTTCGAGGGCTGGCAGGGAGGTGAAACCTGTTAGCTCGAGGACCAGCTGGGGTGCAACTGGTCTGGCTGATAGGGCAACTAGCCAGGGGCAAAGCCTTTCCTGCTAGGTAGAGGGAATATCCGGTGAGAGCCGGGGAACTCACAGTTAGGCCTTTGGGGGCCTGTGAGGCCCAAAGATGTCAGGTCTTACAACACGGCCTTTGAGCTGTGTGATATTGACTGACACCATCACATGGATTTTGTGACAATTTTGTTAGTTAATAGGTATAGAGGAAAAAAACCAAGAAGATCTAATTGCTGCCCACAATAGGGAGTGGGTACAAGCACTAAGGCCTCCTTACTAAGCAGCACATCCCAGCAAGATGAGGATGAGTAACAGGCTGAAATTCCTCGCTTGCAGCATCAACAACAGATCAAGGCCATGGTTTGGAGTTTCATGCCAAAAGCAAGCCGCAACGCACTTCAGACCAGAAGCCGGCAATCTTTTTCCATAAAAGGCCATAGAGTAAATATTTTAGGCTTTGCCAGGGTTCTGGGACCACAGGTCCATAGCCTGTAGTTTGCAGTGCCCCTAAACGCAACAGCAAAACCACTAGTTTGGAGCATAAATGCGCTAACAACACAATAAAAAAAAGTCAAGCCACTGGGGACTGACTGAGTCCCTGAGACCAGCATCCTATTGTACTACATGACCCCCGACATTATTTCATCGATATCAACCGCAGAAACACCCTTGTAACCTTGATCTCCTTTGCTTAATATTGTTAGAGATGCATCTTTCTACAAAAGCAACAAGCAGACACGCAAGGAGATTGTCTTGGCCTAGGAAAGCACAGTAAGGGCCTCCCTACACTCTCCTCTCACTGGCATGTGGGCTAACCAGCATCATAAGTCTTCTCAGGGTGGTGTGGGGCATGAAGGGGACAGCAGGAGCATGGGTCCCAGCCAGTGTGCCCCAAGTGAACCCTGAATGGGTTACAGGTGAGCCGACATACGACACTCTTTGCCCTCAAAGCCAGGCTTTGCCCCAGCATGCCCTACAGATATAATCACCTCCTTTATTTGCCACAGGGGAATGGCGCTGGGGAAGAAGAGATCTGTGACTGTCTCCCAAAGCGGGATTCTTTCATGATTTCCCAGACTCCTTTTCCCCACAAATATTCATCCATTCAGTAAACCTTTACTGAACACCTACCACGTTCCAGGCCCTGCACTGAGCCTGGAACAGGCTTTTTGGGGTTACAAAAAGGAATAAGGCAAAGTTCCCGACCTCTAAGACTGCAGAGCTCAAAGGGAGAAGGAGCAGGTTAATCAGTGATCACAGCAAAAATAACTGCTGACAGCGGTGCATCCAAGTGTACAAGGGAATGGGACAGGAAAGCGAGCTAGACTTCAGTCCCAGCTCTGGAAGGAGGAAGGAGGACCCTGCACCAGGGGTGGGAGAAGGAGGGGCGGGCTGTGGGTAAGGCTGTCCAGGGGATATAGCCCCAGGCTCTGCTGGCCTGGAGAGCAGAGTGCGAAAACGGGGCAAGGAAAAGGATGCCAGGAAGGAAAAGAGCATCAGGAGGAAAGACAGGAGCATACCTGACAGCATGGGGGCTTGCCCAAAGCCAGCCACACCTTTCCCTGTGGTTTCACTCATGATTCAAAGTCACAGGTTCTACATGTCAGAGTCCTTCCTATCCAAAGAGAACATGTGCCCTCTTGTCAACTACTCACCTGGACGTCTGGGCTGTGATTGAGCAGATCCAGGTATGGAGCGAGCGCGTAGGTGTCTGGCTCTGCAGAAAAGCAGTGCCTCCGCCTGTGCTTCATGTACACAGCTCTGGTGTTGACGGTGCACCAAGCCCACAGGAGGGCACTGTAGCTAAAGATGCTCTCAACAGTCTCAGAAAATAGAGGCTGCAGGGAAGAGAAAAAGTCTCTGGAGGAAGTAAAGAACTCCTGCACGTGGGTTCTCTGCTCTCTGGCCTTTGTTTTCAATGGTTTGGGAAGAAGATTCACCACTTCCGGCTCCAAACAAACAGGGCAGGTATAGGCCTTCGGTAAAATCTCCAGGTAAGGCTTCCAGGGAGACCGGTCCCCAGCATGCTTTTCTGAAACCAAAAAGGTGCACAGAGCCAGCAGAGGAGACGGAGGAGGCTGCCACCTTTTAAAATTAAAAGCCAAATCACAGGAATTACTTTTATTCAAAATATGGAGTAAGCAACAGATATAGACATCCCAGTGGTTTGCTCTGCTCCCAGGGGTACTGTGGCCAAACTGTCAGTACCCTCCAAGTTTACTCAGTGCACCCAAGAGAGGGTCTTCCTTCCTCAAGGCTCTCCTCTGGAGCACACCCCAATACAAGTGCTCTGAACAGTCACACTGAGACAAGAACTGACTCACTAACCCGACTTTCAGCTTTGTTTGCAAGAGATTCCTTTTTGCAAAAAACCTCTTTGCTTCCAACTTAGTTCTCCAGTTTTAAAGCTTTTGCTGAAAGTCCACTCAGCAAAGTTATCCAAAGTTATCCAGTCATTTCACTGGGATAAGGATATAAAACTTGGTGGGGAAAAAAACTGGTGGGAAGAACCTCGACCTGTCCCTTCCAATACAGTAACCACTAGGTACACACAGCTATTTCAACTTTAATTATTTAAAATTAAAAATAATATTGAAAATTCAATTCCTCAGTCATGCAAGCGACATTTCAAGTGCTCAGTAGCCATATGTGGCTAGTGGCTACCACAATGGATAATACAGGGTGAAACATTTCTATCACTGCAGAAAATTCTATTGTAATATACTACCCTAGATGGAAAACAATATGTTCATTATATACTTGTTACAGTTCTAAAGCTTTTGTTCCTAAACTTACCCACTGTATTGCAAATTATACAATGCAGTATTTTTATGTTACCAATAAAAAGATCTCATGTTGCATGAAATGTATTTAGAAAAGTTTTCATTAACCCTTCAAAGTCCATATTCCTATATTACCATACATTCTACTCAAAATTTCAGAATGACACAGAAGATGTTAATAAAAACAGGATCCTTGCCTCTACTCAGGCCAATCAAGATATATCAGCCCTCTTACAAAAATATGTCAGGGGGGCAAAAAGTCCAGAACTTACCCTGGGTTAAGAAACAATACAATCTTCCAACTCTCCTAAGTTAGAAACTCCTTCTGAGGATCTCACCCACTCCATCCTCAGAAAGTCCCCCAAAACAAAGGCCCAATATAACACAAGCCAGAAAATAGTTCTCAACTCCCATGCTGGCCTCCTCTCTTCTATGCTAAACAAAACTAACTCTTTCATAATGTCAACAGCTCTTCAGAGCTAAAGGAGAATTCAAATAAGCACAATGAGGGTCAAAATAAAAGGGAAGTAACTGACATCTGTCAAGATCTACTACAATGGAGAACAGGCTGCTGTGAGTCAAGGCACTCAGCTGTCATCTACATCTGTTATCCCATTTAATCTTCATTTTCTAGTAAGTGATAGATCAGGATTCAAACTCACATCCCAGGCAGCCTATCAAAAACCTTAAAAATGCAGTTTACAATGAATTAAGCACCAACTTCATACAACAGGTAAACCTTTCGAATCATTTCAGATATTTATTAGCTATGCAAAGAGACTGCATCCTAACAAACTATGCCTTAGATAACATATTTCAATGATAGACTTTAAAGGAGAATCACTTGCACCAGATGAGCATGTGTGTGGTCACTTACTTAGCAATGTACGCCCCTAAGTAGCTTCTGATCACTGTGTCCGTGGTGAGCAGGCAACTCTCAGGCAATGAAATAATCAGCTGTCCCTCCTTCCCCAAAAGAAAATAAAGTTTAGAACACCCATGCTTTGGAAAGGACCTGTGAGTGTAAGTCTTTCAAAGTCCTCGATTCCACAATCATCTACTGAGAACCCAGGATACCCCAACCAGAAACCACCAAACAGCCCACCAACAGACCGGTTCCCAAGTCCCTGAGTCAGCAGATGCAGGCAAGACTGCTCCAGAGCCAGGCACAACCTCAACAACAATTAAAGGTTAATTATGTGACTGACACCCACCACCAGCCAATCCTTCACCAGAAAAGAATGCAGAAACACTTTGACAACTCAAAATCGTTTCTTCACTTTCTTATGCCAGGAAATAGTGCTACCTACAGGAAACAGGCAGAAAACACCCAAAAAAATTCTATTTGGTGAAATCCACGTGTCCAGTCAGTGGCCTACTCTATGTATAACCTGCGTCAACTAGCTAGAGTAACGGCAGCCCACCTAGCACAAGGGTATCATTTTACCACCTGCAAAAGTATAGTTTTCAGTTCCCCCCACCAAAATAGAAACATAGAAAGAAAAATTAAGATGTCAAGTAACAGATACCAGAAACATATGTAAGATTCTGCTTTTGTTATAAGTGGCATCTAAGTTGGTTAAAAATCTCAGCAAAAGTCTTCTGGGCTCAGTTTCTGGTTTCCTCATCTATAAATCCAGATTAAGCTGGATGATCACTATAGTTCCATCCTGCTCTGACATCCCTTGACGTTCTGATTTTGAAAAAACTCACTTAATAAAATGTTCTGTATCTTGATTGGGGTAAATCTCTTCATCATCAAAACTCATCAAACTGGACACTTTGTCCAGTGCATTTACTGTGCATTTACTACGTGTAAAATATGTCTCAATTTTCATAAAGTTTAACAAAAAAGCCACATTTAAAGGTACATGTAAAGCAACTGCCAATTACCATTTCTTGATCTAAACAAAACTACCTATAGTTACCGCTGTATACATAACAGGTATATTTTTCCTCCCCAAATTCTGCTATGGAATGAAGTCAATTATATCTCCCCTCAAAAAATAAAAATATTGCAGAAAAACGTGAACGTACTTAATACTATTGAGCTGTGCACTTAAAAATGATTAAGATGGTAAATTTTATGTTATGTATATTTTACCACAATGAAAAATATTTAAACAATAAAAATAGTATAATAGAATCACAACATTAAAAGCTACCATGCTTTAGACTAAACAAATGTACACAGTTGGGTTTTATATAAATCAAATTAAGGAATTAAAATAATTTTTAAATAATTAAAAATAAATTGAGGTATTAATTTCTAGCTTTACAGAAAATTGTGCATTAGATGCACTTTAAACAGCATGGAAAGAACTAAAATGAACCTTGGAGATCATGTGTGTCATTCACCTCCTCGTTTTCCAGGTGAAGACATAGAAGCCGAGGGTGAGGAGCCTTGCTCCAGGCGCCACAGCAAGCTGAAGACAATCCTGGGACAGGCTCCAAGGCCTCCTCCCTCTGCTTGCTCAGCCTCTACTTACTATGCTATGCACAGCCTCTCAGATAGGAGCAGCTCCCTCCCCTGGCACACTTAAAATATGATCTGATTTATAAAATTTTGCAGCAGAGACTGCTAGTTGCCTACCCCAACATGCCTTCTCTCCTCCTCCTCACTAACCTAATCCTATCTGGAGGGCACTGTGCCAGGGAAAGGGTGACACACCTCACCTCCCTCACAGCTAGCTAGGGCCATGTACCTGGTCGCTGGCAGAAAGAATGGGGCTGGAAATTCCTTGACAGTAGGAAGTCTGCCCTTCCTCACCCCCTTGCTCCATCCTGTTGCTCAAGCTCCAGGAGCTACACCCTGGATCTGAGGGTGTAGGGCTCCCTCTAAGGATGTGGATAGAGAGCTGGAAGGAGTCTGGGCCTCTGAAGGCCATGGGGCCACCATACCAGCCAGCTCTGCCTATCCAAGTTGGTTTACGTGACAGCAAAATAAACTTATGCTCTGTTTAAGCATTGTTACTTTGGGTTTGTCTCTTCAAATGCAGCAAACTTAATCCTAACAGACAGAACTGTATTCAAACATATCCACTAGGTAAGAAATGCCTGTATGTCTGAAATATTTTTAGTTCACTTGAGTTGAACCACAAAAACAAAGCAGCAAAATCTACATGGGGTTTCAAGGATAGGAGAGCTCTCACCTGCAGGGATGTTTTGCTCATCAGCCCTCTTCCAGTACCTAGGAACACAAAGATAGGAAAAGGGTAAATCCTGCTGTGTCTTCAAGGTCTTAGAGAGCCCATTTTGAATAAAGATGTGAACGCACTGGAAAAGTCCACAAAGCTGAAGGTGAGTGTCTCACATCCTTTGACTCCCAGGGGAAACAGAGGGTCAAGAAGCTATTCTGGAAAATGTCCTGACTTGCTTTGGGGTTTATAATCCTTGAAGGGCAAAGTAAGCTTCAGAGTCGAGACCTAAAGATCATCAATTTTATACAGATCTGCTGCCGGGTCTCTTACAAGACCTTTTAAGCTGTATTCTCTCCCTTGGGGCCTATCAGCTGGGGTCGGAGGGGCTACTCCTAATGCCCACCCACCCTCAGAGGCTGGATCCTCAGGCCACTTTTATCCATTACCAGACCCAGCTTTCCCCAGTAATGATCTTGGAAGCACTCTGACTGGCTGACCAGTAAAGCTTACACAGGTCCCACAAAGCCTGAAGACTACACTCTCCCCTCCCCGACCAGGCAACCCATTAGAGATGTGCTCTCCTTGAAGAATGAGCTTGGCGGGGTAGATCCAGGGCCAGCTGCTCCCTGTAAGCCAAGGCCTTGACCAGAGCACAGTCACAACAGTAACTTCCCCAGCTGCACTGTCACCACCACCAACATCCAGAAGTTTACCGCTGCATGCCCAAGACTTTCCTCCAGCAACACAGTCAGATGACTGTGTTCTGGCAGGCGTAGGTACAATATGACCTATAATCATTATACAGGGTCTAGAGTATTCATTCTTTCAAATTCATAGTTCTTGAGCTTTTTTCTCTCAGCTAGACAGGATATAATTCAGCAAAGGTCAATTCCTGCGGGACTAATGGGAGCTCCTTGTTCAGGGAGGGAATTCCTGCCTTGAGTCCTGAATCAGGTGTCCGGCAAGTTTGATTTGATGAGTCCTAACTCACCTCCCCGCCCAGAAGCATACCGTCTGCCCAGGCACACAGTTTTGGTTTTAAGAACTTAGTTCATTCTTCTGTGTCCCACGATCAAGTTAATCATCCCTGTGGGCCAGAACCCTTCCTGGAATCAATTACTAATGGGAGGGTTTTTTCTATGGGGTCATCCTTTAAAAGACTCATGCTAATTTAAGTGGAAATTTCTCTCCAAACATATATATGAACAGAACTTGGCATATAGAATAAATCTGGAAGATACTTTACCTATATTTCTACAATACAGTGTTCAATATCACAAAACAGATCATGGTAACCTGGACTTACTATCATTTTATACCAGACAGATTAGGCAAGGTAGGAAGTGGCCATTAGGATCACAAAAGGAAAGCTTATCACAGACTTCTCACTGCCATAAAATTTCTACTATCATATCCACCACGGAGGCCCAGATTTGGCCAGTGTTTTTGATGGTAAAAAGGAAATACTGGTGTCAGTTCCCAAAGCATGAATCAGGTGAGAGTCTAAAGGCTGAATTCTGCTTACAACCTAGGAGCCATGCCTTGCCCCTCCACTAAGATTAATTCCCCCAAATTTTGTTCCCTCCTATCACACACTGATTAAGAGCTAAAGACATATAAAGCACTCAGGGAAGCTGTTATGGACTGAATGTTTATGTTCCTCCAAATTCATGTGTTGAAATCCTAACCCCCAATGTGTTGGCATCAGGAGGTGGGGCCTTTGCTAAGTGATTAGGTCATAAGGGGGGAGCCCTCACAAATGGGATTTAGTGCCCTTATAAGAAGAGATGAGAGAGCTTGCTCCAGCTCCCTGCTCTCCACCATGTGAGAACACAAGGAGCAGATGGCAATTTGCAAACCAGGAATCAGTGCTCACTAGACACCAAATCTGCCCGAACCACGATCCTGGACTTCCCAGCCTCCAGAACTGTGAAAAATAACTTGTTGTTTAAGCCAACCAGTCTATGGTAATTTGTTATAGCAGCTGAGCTGATTAAGACAGAAGGTTCCTTACCCCCAGAACTGTAAGAAGTGGGCTCTGATCACTGCCAGCCCATTTTGTTCTAGTTCCTACATGGCCATGAATCTGGAGGTGGGCCAAGGGAGAGTTCTTCCCACTTTAAAAAACGGTAACTCTTCACTGCTCCACATTATAGACAGATAACTTAGTTCCAGGCATTCCGTTTAAACCATATGCCAATTCCTGCTTGATAAGTTTAAACCTATCCTTCTCAGGACAAAGGACACTGAGGAGTAGGCCAGCCTTAGCACAGTGAGTCCACTCCTGATATTGTTTTCTCTTGATCATCTCATGAAGAACTCCACCCAGTAAAATCTAAGAGAATGGGGGCCAGCCCCGTGGCTTAGTGGTTAAGTGCGCGCGCTCGGCTACTGGCGGCCCAGGTCCAGATCCCGGGCACGCATCACCACACCACTTGCCCGGCCGTGCTGAAGCGGCGTCCCACATACAGCAACTAGAAGGATGTGCAACTATGACATACAACTATCTACTGGGGCTTTGGGGAGAAAAAGCGAAAAAAAAAGGAGGAGGATTGGCAACAGATGTTAGCTCAGGGCCGGTCTTCCTCAGCAAAAAGAGGGGGATTGGCGTGGATGTTAGCTCAGGGCTGATCTTCCTCACACACACACACACAAAAAATCTAAGAGAATGGCTTTTACTGATTGTTCCTTGACACACAAAAACAGAAGGTTAAACATTCTGTTCAAGGCTGACAATTATGGTTCACCAACATAAAGTAGGAGGAACCATAATAGAAAATGGCTCAAATCAAGTATTTTAGCCCAAAGTCGTCATGTGTAACTGATGCATAGGAAACAACTTTACACATATCACTTCACTTGGCCAGGGGCACATGTGGTAAATCGTTTATCTTGGGTGATGTACAAGGAAGTTAATTTGCTCAAAGTGAAACTACCCAATGGGTACTTGAATTATCATTTTAATGGCCAAGGGAAGCATTCAGAGGCATATGATTTAATTTTTCTATAAGGTAAAAATGCCTGCGCCTGCCTATGAAGTAGAACTTCAAGGCCCTAATCACACACTGTCTCTGTGCTACAACAGGCCCAAAATCCTTTTGAAGAGCATCTTGGTCCTCCCCTTGGTTACCTCCAGCCCACTTCTGGACAGAGCTGTGTGGCCCTGTATGCAGTCACATACCCATAGCAAGCTATCCAACTTGTATGAGAGAATGTTCCAGAAGAGAATGCTAATCCAAACTCCAAGACAACATCTTCAATTTCCAGAAAAGAATGTTAATCTAACCTCCACAACAAGCTCCTCAACTTCCAGAAGAGAATGTTAATCCACCTCTGCCGAGATGACTGTTGACTCTCGGCCATTAGAGGGCTCCTCCTCCAACACTTGGGAAGCACAGCCAGACCAGCTGAGGGAGCAGTATTTGCTGAGGCCTCTCTAACGACTCCTCTCCTCCAGCCACACCACCAGAGAACAAGAGCCTCCACTGGTTGTTTGGAACCTCCTTCCTCTTAGAAAACGATTTTGACTCACCTGACCTATGGGATAATCCCATCAGCCTGCATGGTTTGAAAAATCCCAGGAAACCACTGTAGTATGTTGATGAGGACACCAGTCACCACCTACATAAATGTGTTCCCTATGAGGACCCAGTGATGACACTTCCCTCAGGACTGAGTTCCAGGAATACCTGCACTTCTGCTGACAAATACTTTAGTTTTATTCACAGGACATTAAGATTCAGGTAACTGATCATATCAGTTGTCTGGGCTATGGGAAGATGACTGAAATTTGTGGCTCACGTCTGACAGGTATACAACAAGATTTTATAATAATCCTGGCTTTTATGTATTATCCTTATCCCTGCCTTCATCTTATTTTTCTATTCTCATTTCCTTTTTTTAATTTAATTTTATTTCACCATTTTGGAATTTCTCCCCATAAGCCACTTTAATTTATTTTTGTTGTTTTTTTTTTGTTTGTTTTGTGAGGAAGATCGGCCCTGAGCTAACATCTGCCAATCCTCCTCTTTTTGCTAAGGAAGACTGGCCATGGACTAACATCCATGCCCATCTTCCTCCACTTTATATGGGACGCCGCCACAGCATGGCTTGACAAGTGGTGCGTCGGTGTGCGCCCAGGATCCGAACGGGCAAACCCCGGGCCGCCGCAGCGGAGCACGCACACTTAACCGCTTGCGCCACCAGGCCAGCCTTAATTTATTTTTGGAACAAAGTAAAATACAAATAAACATTATAGCTCCAAGGCAGGAAGCCTGACACACAATAAAAGATGTGCTCCCATAGAGAACACAGCTCACCTGCAAGAATCACTCCTGCTTTCCTGTCACCTGTGCCCACATGTCTCTCATGTGAGAAAGGTCATGAGGGTTGAATGCCAGACCTTACCTGGAAAACGAGCAGGTGTTAAGTTTGTATCTTCAAACTTCCTATCTCTCAGCCATTTCTTCAGCTCTATAAATGCCGGCTTGTGGCTCTCATTCACTAATCAATGAAAAGAAAAAATAGTGATTAAAATCACCATATAGGGGCCGACCCAGTAGCATAGCGGTTAAGTGTGCACACTCCGCTTCGGCAGCCAGGGATTCGCAGGTTCAGATCCCGGGCGCGCACCAATGCACCGCTTATCAAGCCACGCTGTGGCGGCATCCCATATAAAGTAGAGGAAGATGGGCACAGATGTTAGCTCAGGGACAATTTTCCTCAGCAAAAAAAGAGGAGGATTGGCATCGGATGTTAGTTCAGGGCTAATCTTCCTCAGCAAAAAAACAGGAGATTGGCATCAGATGATAGCTCAGGGCTAATCTTCCTCACAGGAAAAAAAAAAAAATCACCATACAATCAGATCACCATTTACAAAGAAAATCTCTGATGAACTGTCTCAGTGTTCAGAAACAATTCAGACAGTATTATCGCAAAAGGGAATAAATTTTAAAACAAACAAATAACGTAAACTGATAAAAACCATACAAGCCTCTCAAAGATGCAGGAAAAGCATTTGATAAAATCTAACATTCATTCCTGACAAATACTCTCAGCAAACAAGGATAGAAGGGAACTTCCTCAACCTGACAAAGAATATCTAACAAAAAATCTACTGCTGACACACCTAATAATGAACAACGGAGTGCTTTCCTCCTAAGATCAGGAAAAAGACAAGGAGGTCTATTCTCCCCACTTCCATTCAACACTGTTCTGGTAGTTCTAGGCAGAGCAATAAAGAAAGAAAAATAAACAAAAGGATCTATTTGGGTTGAATTGTATACCTCAAAATTTGTGTGCTGAAGTCCTAATCTCCAGTACCTCAGAATATGACCTTATTTAGAGACAGGGTCTTATGATGAGAAAACAGCTATTTTGAGTTGCTGCCTAGGCATTTTCCAGTATGACAACCCTGCTCACAACCAGAGTCTGGATATTCAGGGAAGGGCCTGAGCTTAGGGTTCCCAACAAAGTTCCAGCATTGCTTTTCCTGGGGCACCTTTTAAAACAACCACTTTGAATTGAGCCTGCAAAAAGTTAGTGACTACCCCAAACACCTTATAAATAACAGGTGCTTGCTACACTGCTCTCTAGCTCCTGCTCACCTGTGACCTGGGTTGGAGGACGGGCCCTCTAAAGCCCCATTCCCACTTCCAGGATCGTAAGTAATAAATCTTATGACTTTACTTCCTTTGTATGAGACTACTGAAACTGTGCCTTCAATCAAAAGGGCCCTGGGGTTTTCACTTCCCCAAAGTGGGAATTCAAATGCTGAGGGAGCCACCTGCTGACCCCATGTGAGTGGCTTGTGCCTCCTCATTCAGCAGGTCATAATCTGCATATTCTTAACTTAACACACCAGCTATGGGCCTTCCAACACAGCTCTTTACAGAGGAAATCAAGTTAAAATGAGGTCATTAGGGTGGGCCCTGATCCAATATGACTGGTATCCTTATAAAAAGGGAAAATTTGGACAGACATGCATAGAGGGAAGACACTAGAAGAGACACAGGGAAAAGACAGCCATCTACAAGAAGAGAGGCCTGGATCCTTCCCTCATAACCCACAATCCTGCTGACACCTTGATTTTGGACTTCTAGCCTCCAGAACTGTGAGACAGGGAAATTTACAGCTGTAAATGCCTACATGAAAAAAGATGACTCAATTAAAAAACAGGCAAAGGACTTGAATAGGAATTTCTCCAAAGATGATCTACAAATGCTGAATGAGCATATACAAACAAGTTCAACACCACTAATCATTAGAGAAACCCAAATCAAAACTGCAGTGGGTATTGTCTCACACCCATGAGGATGGCTACTATCAAAAAAACGGAAACCAAAAAGTGTTGGCAAGGATGTGGAAATATTAGATGGAACTCTTGTGCACTGTTGGTGGGAATGAGAAATGGTACAGCCACTGACGAAAAAGAGCATGTCTATTCCTCAAAAAATTAAAAATATAATTATCATATGATCCAGCAATTACAATTCTGGATGTACATTCAGAAAAGAAAGCAGGGCCTTGAAGAGATATTTGTCCACCCATGTTCCTAGCAGCATTATTCACAATAGCCAAGAGGTGAAAGTAACCTAAATATCCATCAACGGATGACGGGATAAAGACAATGTGATATATATGTAGATACAAAGGAATATTACTCAGCCTTAAACAGAAAGGATTTTCTGACGGGTATTACATGAATGAACCTTGAGTGCATTATGCCAACTGAAATAAGCCAGTTACAAAAAAACAAATACTGTACAATTCCACCTATATGAGTTATCTAGATGGTCAAGTTCATGGAAAGAGAAAGTAGAATGGTGGTTACTAGGGGCTGGGGGAGAGAAGGTAATAAGAAGTTATTATATAATGGGTACAGAACTCCAGTTTTACAAGATGAAAAGAGTTTTGGAGATTGGCTGCACAAAAATGTCAATGTGCATAACACTACTAAAATATACTTAAAATGGTCAATTTCACATTACATGTATTTTACCACAACTAAAAATAAAAATTTTTCAAAAATCTGAAATCAATAACCTAAATAAATGGAGAGATATACTTTGTTTACAGTTTGGAAGTTTCAATATTGTTAAGATGTCAAATTCTCCCCAAAATGATATATAGATTCAACACAACCCTAATCAAAATTCAAGCAGGCTTTTTTGTAGAAATTGACAAAATGATTCTAAAATTCCTATGGAAATGCAAAGGATCTGGAATAGCCAAAACCATTTTGAAATACGGATTTTAAAACTTATTATAAAGATACAGTAACCAAGATTGTGTGATACTGTCATAAAGACAACAAAGAGATGAATGAACAGAACACAAATTCCAAAAATGGACTCACACATATATGGATCACTGATTTTTCACAAAGGTACAAAGGCAATTCAGAAGAGAAAGGACAGTTTTTTCATAAATGTTGCTTGAAGAATTGGATCTCCATAAGCAAATGAAATGAATTTACTCATACCTTGCACCATATATAAAAATTAACTCAAATTGATCATAGACTTAAATATAAAGCCTAAAACCATAAGACTTCTAGAAGAAAACATAGGAGAAAATCTTTGAGACCCTGGGTTAGGAAGATTTCTTAGGTATAACACCAAAAGGAAAATCCACAAAACAACAAATTGATAAACTGGACTTTTATCAAATTTTAAATTTTACTCTTCGAAAGACATTGTTAAGAGAACGGAAAAAAAAGCCATAGAATGATTGAAAATATTTGCAAATCACACATCTCATACAGGACTTGAATCCCGAAAATCCAAAGCACTCTTAGTAGTCAACAAAAAGAACCCAACCTAATAAAAACAAGAGTGAAAGATCTAAACAGTTAACCAAAGAATGCCTATATAAATGGAAAATAAGCACACTAGTCATTAGAAAAATGCAAATCAAGACCACAGTAACATAGCACTTCACACCCCCCTGGATGGCTATAAACAAAAAGACAGACAATAACAAGTGTTGGCAAGAATGTGGAGCAACTGGAACTCTCATAAACTGCTGGTAGGAATGTAAGATCATACAACTACTTTGAAAAACTGTTTGGCAGTGTCTTTAATAATGAAACCTACACCTACCATATAAGCCAGTCATTCTACTCCGAGGTATTTACCCAAGAGAAAAGAAATCACGTGTCCGTGCAAAGACTTGTACACAAATGTTCGTAACAGCTTTATCTGTAGCAGGCAATAAATGAAGACAACCCAAACGTCCACCAACATGATAAACAAATCATGGAATACAGTCAGCAATAAAAAAGAATGAACTATTGATACACACAGCACCAAAGAATTATCCCAAAATAATTATGCTGAGTAAAAGTAAAGTAAAAAAAATTTTAAAAATCCACTCTATCATTTTATAAAACTATAAAATGCAAACAAACTGATAGTGACAGAAAGTAGATCACTGGTTGCCTGAGGATGGGGGGAGGGAAAAGGGGCAAAAGAAAAGGATTACAAAGGAAAGCAAGGACACTCCTGGAGTGATGGACATGTTCATTATCTTGACTGTGGTGATGGTTTCCCGTGTGCATACATATGTCAAAATCTATGAAATTATACACATTAATATGTGACATTCATTGTATATCAATTATACTGCAATAAAACTGTTTTTTTTAACAACATGATCTAAGATAAAATGCTCCCAAAATATGTTATCACAATCTAGAGAATAGATTTTACAGTAAGAGTATTTAATCAGTGAGCATTTAATGAGCAACTATTACACACACAGCACTATGTTACCACTGTAGGGAATGCTCAACAAGTTCTTCACCTTCAAAAAGTTGACATTTTAGTTGGGAAACAAGACTTCCATGAAAAACAACCAGAAAACCAGTAGATCCTTATGAATAATACCCAATAGGCAAGATAACAAAGGGTGACATTAGTGAGAATTGGAAATGGCATTACCAAAAATATAATCTCAGCTCAGTCTTGAAGGTTAGAGAGAAACAAAACAAGTAAGAAGGAAAACAGATGTTCTAGGCTGAGGACGGATTAAGAGGAAGAGGTGGAAGGGTGTGGAGCACACTCGGGGAACCGTGAGTAAGAACAGACTTCCATGGGCCGGCCCCGTGGCATAGCGGTTGAGTGCGCGCGCTCCGCTGCTGGCGGCCCGGGTTCGGATCCCGGGTGCGCACCGGCGCACCGCTTCTCCGGCCATGCTGAGGCCACGTCCCACATACAGCAACTAGAAGGATGTGCAGCTATGACATACAACCATCTACCGGGCCTTTGGGGGGGAAAATAAATAAATAAATAAAATCTTTAAAAAAAAAAAAAAAAAGAACAGACTTCCAATACGTGGAGGGGCAGGACGGAGCCACCTACAAAGGGAGCTGATGTCACACAGGAGGAGTTCAGATATCACACAAAAGGGAATGAGGAGGCTGGAGGCTCCTAACCAAAAAAGCCACGTGGAAACAGTCCCTTAGGAAAGTCAACAAATGGAACAACAGGGAAGGAAGAAAAACAAGGGTGTAGGTAAACCAGCAAAGAGCCACCGGAAATCATCTACAGGCAGAACGGAGAAGTTCACCTAAGGCCAGGTGAGATTTAGCAGGACACTGGCGATGGAAGGCAAAGAAGGATAAAGAGTCAAAGATCACCTCAGAAGATGCTGACACACTTGAGGTCCACTAGGAGGAGTGGTTAAATTTTTATCAAAAATAACGACATTTATGTAGTCCTTTCCAGTTGGCCAAGTACTTTCACTTACGTATCTCGCTCAGACTGGGTTACGCTGAACTCGAAATGACGAATTTACATCCACACACTGATTATCTTATAGATAGCGAGAGGTCAGGAGAGAGGTCAGGACCAGAATCAAAAACCTACAAGTCATCCCCAGAGAAGACAAAGCTGAAGCAAGGAGAGCTGCATTTATATTCCCAAAAGAGTTTAAAAGAATGTAATGGCACTATTAAAAGAGTATTCTTGGGGCCGGCCCCGTGGCTTAGTGGTTAAGTGCGCGCGCTCCGCTACTGGCAGCCCGGGTTCAGAGGCCGGGCGCGCACAGACGCACCGCTTGTCCGGCCACGCTGAGGCCGCGTCCCACAAACAGCAACTAGAAGGATGTGCAACTATGACATACAACTATCTACTGGGGCTTTGGGGAAGAAAAAGGAGGAGGATTGGCAATAAATGTTAGCTCAGAGCCGGTCTTCCTCAGCAAAAAGAGGAGGATTGGCATGGATGTTAGCTCAGGGCTGATCTCCCTCATAAAAAAAAAAAAAGAGTATTCTTTAAGAAACATTCTTTTTGAACATTGCCCATGTGCCTTTGAGAAAAGCTACGTGTATCTGTTAATTCCAATCAACAACGGATTCCTTTTTTCATCACTGGCACGAAAAGATCTAAACTGTACCTCCTCTTGATTCAGAACTTCTGAAGAGTTTCCGTCTTCTGATCCGGCTGGTTCTGCCTCTTCCCTTCCTCATACTAAAACTGCAGTTTCTGTTTAGGTGCTCAAACTAAAATAAAAAGCATTTTCTTTGGCTTTCTTTCCAGTTGTACGATAATCATTCATCTTTGTACCTATAACAATACAAATATACAGACACATATTATTTGGTAAACCATTTCTCTAACATGTTTTTGTATACAAAACCTTTACACTGTGAGCTAAATCATGTTCCCGTGTGCAGTAATGGAAAGCCCATTATATCGTTGCCTCTAAAACAGTTTTATCTTGATGTCCTCCTAAATGCTGATTGATTAATCATGGAAACCCTCATAACTGATTTCATACCCGTGTACTTTAGTGACTTACACATCTCAATTCTAATAAACATTTACTAAGCACCAATCTAACTACACTTGGAATGAACAGTAGCCATGAAGCCACCATCAACTAGGAAGTCTTAGAGAAAAAAAAAGTCCTCTTTCAGTGTGAAGCAAATAACGGTTTGTTTTTAGAACCAGGATCCTGAAGTCAACATGATTAATTGGGAGTTTGCAACAGATTAGGAAGAGAATGAGAGCCAAGAAAGCAGACAAAACAAAGAAATGATCATAAAATCCAAAATGACTATTAGAGTTTCCACATGCTACTTCCTTGGAAGCATAAAAATGAAACCCATTAAATACCAATATGATACAGGCAACAGAGTGGAGTATTATGCAGCCATTCATAGGAAGAAGTTAAGTGCTAAGATGTAAAAATGTCCCAGATATAAGTGAAAAAATAAAGTTGCAGAACATCACAAATTCAATGATCCCTTTCGGGTTTGCTTCTGAGCATATTATATATGCTGATAACAGCAGACTTAAGGAAGGATGTTAAAAAATGTGCAAGGGAGGACGGCATTTACTATTACTTTTGTATCCTCCCGTGACTCATTTATGTAAGAGCACATAAATGACATAATGTGAATATTACTTATGTGCATTTATGTGCATTTTAACCTTAAAACTGTTTCTAAAATCTACTACTAAAAAATACCAGACAGGGGCCTGCCTGGTGGCACAGTAGTTAAGTGCGTGTGCTCGCTTCGGAGGCCCAGGGTTGGCAGGTTCGGATCCCGGGCGCACACCAACGCACCACTTGTCAAGCACCACTTGTCAAACCATGCTGTAGCAGTGTCCCATATAAAGTAGAGGAAGATGGGCACCGATGTTAGCCCAGCGCCAATCTTCCTCAGCAAAAAAGAGGAGGCTTGGCATCCGATGTTAGCTCAGGGCTGATCTTCCTCACAAAAAAGATAAATAAATAAATAAATAAATAAATAATACCGGACAGAAATGAATAACAAAACAAGAACTCCAGGCACTCCTAATACCCTCCTCCAGCTGCGGAAGGTTCACTGTGTCATCTACCCAAAGTTGGCAAGTCGGGTCCCAGGGCCCACCGCAGCTGTTCCCCTCTTGGTGCCCAGCGCTCCGGCCGCACATGGGCCGGCGACCCCCACGATGACCCCTGGCCCGGCTGCGCGCGGCCCCAGGTCCAGGGAGCCAGCTCTGCACGAGCGCCGGGTGACAGCACGGCTACCGGCACCCTCCTCGCGCCCAGTCCTCAGACTCAGACGTGAGGCCACCCTACTGTTCGACACTCGCCGCACCCCCCCCCCGCCCTGCCTTATTCCGGCGGATGAGCCTCAGGCCCCGGAGGATAACAAACTCACAGCCTTAGGCTCCCTCGCATCCCGCCCGCGCGCCTCCACGGCGGCTTCTTGGGTCAAAGACGCTACCTGAACGGCTTCCAGAGGATGGGGGATACCGTAGTGCGCAGTACAACACCAGGCCTGCTGGGAGTCTGCAATCTGCACTCAGTTCTCCTTTTTACACCAAAAAACTGAAACGTACGGAAAATTCCAAAATTACCCTGCTCCCGTTGCCCGGACAACCCCCGGGTTACCCTGCTTCCATGACCCCGGAAGTCCTTCCGGCCCATCCGGCGCTGGGCAGCGCCTCCAAGATGGCTGCGGCGGAGGGCGGGCCCACTGCAGGTGGAAAGCCAACACAGCGCCCCCCGTGAACACGAGTTAAAGAAGCGAACCGAAGCCATAGAGAGAGAGAGGCTGAGAGCCGTGAAGACCGCCTCGAGTCCTCGTCGTTAGTCGCCGGGCGGAGCCTCCTCTCCGCTACAGGCCGACGCCTCGTGGCGTGCGCATGCGCGTTGTTTCCCGGATGCGTCACTGACGCCCACCCCGGCGTGGGTGAAAACCCCCCCACTCCAGAGCCGGGTTAAGAAAATCCATTGGCACGCGGGCCAGGAGCCTGCGCTCTGAAGAGTCGGCCTGCGCGGTCTCCTTCCATGCTAGCGGAGAGGGACCTCTTAGGGCTCGCGTCTCCAGGCCCGGCCCTTAAAAGAGGCCCTCACCCAACCCGTGGTCCCGGACCTCCGCCTCGCCTTTGGGTCTAGCAGGCCTGACCGCCCCCTAGCGGGCAGCCTTTGCCTCGACCCTCCCCACCCGTCCGTCGGCCGGCTGGGGCCCGCCCTCGCCCCTTTGCTCTGCTAGGCCACCTCAATTCACTCTGTTTGGCTTAACTATCCCAGAACCAGCCCACAGATTTCCAAATCATTGATGTAAATACTGCTCCCTCCAGGAAACGGAGTTCAGTTTCTGTCCCACCCACCCCCACCTTGATTATGGGCTATAGTTAGTGACCTGCCTCCAATAAAGTATGGAAAGAGGGGAAAAGTGACTTTACAGTGGAGAAACCTGGCAAACACTGCCTCGGCCAGGTGATGAGGGTTAATGTCATCAGTGATGAATCTTGTTGATAGCCTGCCCCCTGGATATAAGAGGGGTACTTCACCTCTGCGATATTCTTCCCAGTTCTTCTTTGATAAAAACATCAGACAAACCCAAAAATACCTGACCAGTACTCTTAAAAGCTGTCAAAGGTCATGAAAACTGAGTAGACTTGGAGAATTTGTCATAAACCAGAGGAAAGTTAAGAACTATGTAATGTGGTATTCTGGAGGGAATCCTGGATTAGGAAAAGGATATTAGGGGAAAAACTAGTGAAATCCAAATGAAGCATGGAGCTCAGTTAATACTACTGTTCCCACATTGGTTTCTTAGTTGTGACAAATGTACCATCAGGGTGAGATGTTGATACTAGGGGACATATGATAAGGCGTATACAGGAATTCTTTGTACGACATTTGCAACTTTTCAATAAATCTATTCTAAAGTTAAAGGTTTATTCAAAAGAAAAAGCGGGGCTGGAAATACATGGTTCCACATTTGGACCTTTGATTCAGTGATGTCATCAAGGATCGAGGCTCTTTCTAATTTTCCACAATACCATGCTTAGGGAGTTGGCTTTTCACCTTTTAGTATGTTTCCTCCTGGTCTCAAGATAGTCATTGCAGCTCCAGGCATCACACTGTCACACAAAAGTATTCAAGGAAGAAAGGAAGTCAGGAAGAAAGGGGGCAGATAAAATAGGTATTTTCCTTTTATGAAGCAGGAAGATAATGTATACTCCCATTTTTAGATGGGAATTGACACAGAGTCTTTCCTGGACCAAACTCTACCAGGCTTTTCTGAGCCTTCTTCTCAACTAGGCCTCAACCTGGCCTATAAAATCTACAGACTCAGCACAAATGATGTCATTCACTGTCCTCCCCCCACATTAAAAGACTTAAACACTGACATAGTTTCTGATAGCTCAAGGCTGCAAGCCTACCAAGACCCTAGCCTCCTTAACATGTTCAAGGCTGCCGAAAGAATTTACTGTTTGTTCTAGCCCACATCTGACCATGGGCCCTTTACCCCCTTTCTTAGAGCATTTACTTAAAATTTGTGAACCTAGGGTTGGCCCGGTGGTATGGTGGTGAAGTTCCCATGCTCCACTTTGGCGGCCCAGGTTTTGTGGGTTCGGATCCCAGGCACGGACCTAGGCACCACTCATCAAGCCATGCTGTGGTGGAGTCCCATATACAAAACAGAGGAAGATTGGCACAGGTGTTAGCTCAGGGACAACCTTCCTCAAGCAAAAAGAGGAAGATTGGCAGCAGATATTGCTCAGAGGCAATCTTCCTCACCAAAAAAAAAAAAAAAAAAAAATTTGTAAATCCTTCTTCTGTCCACTTGAGATAGATACATATCAGCTTGTTGGGGGAGAGGGAGAATCTCCCTCTGCCCTTTTCCTTAAGGTTCTTATGGCTGGCCAAATAATTAACAAGACAGGTTAGCAGGAGAAAATAATACCAAGTTTAATAACATGTATACATGGGAGAAAGCAGGGACACTGCATTTCTCTACACAATAGCAGAAATTCTCGTCTTAAATACCATGTTCAGCCAATGACAAAGGAGGATTTTGGGGGTGGGGGGAGTCAGTTACAGGAGATTACCACTAAAGCACAGTAAACAAGAGTAAGGTTATTATGCAGATTTAAGGCCTCACCTTCCACATTGATAAGCCTCTAGAAATGAGGCCATCCCCCCCCTTCCCAAAACAGTGAGGGAGATACCTTTACAAATGGAGATTTCCCCTATAAATGTAAATGTTTGTCTGGCAACTCGTTGCAGGGCCATCCAGAGAATGTGGCCAGAGAGACAGAACTTCCGATAAGATGGGCTTGTTGGTGCCTTTCCTATTGTAACATTTATACTACATTATCTTTACAGCCATCATGATAGAAGATCTGTTCCAGGAAGGAGCCACCATGTCAAATTCTTTAGGCAGTTAGTGGGGGAGGTCAAATGTCCCTCAGAGAAAACAATCAAGGTAAAGAGATATATTTTAGGATGGCCAAATCTTGATCTCCCACAAGCTACAACTCAGGAGTGTCTTTCTTAAGAATTTGAAAGCCATTCTTCTGAAATGTAATTTTCAGAAAGGATAAGGCTTCTGTCTCTCAATCTCTGTTTAGCAGTCACTGCTGGCCTATTGACATTTACGCTGACCATCCCCTTGTAATTTTTCACTTCCCTGACTGTACTCAAGCTCCTCTCTTCCACCTCCCTACTTCCTTACTCTTTCTTTAAATGCCCAGTCACCTCTGTACGGATCCAAGATGAGTTCCGTTCATTCAGGAGCCACTTCCCTATTGCAATAGTATACTGATTAAAATCTGCCCTTACCACTTGAGGATCCAACATTGTTTATCTTTGACAGAATTAAGTAAATTGCTTCCAGTTACATATCTACTTAGCAACTCAGCCACATTTAGATTCTGGGACTCAAAGTCCATGCTCTACCCCTAAGAAAGGCTTACTGAACATCTTAAGCATAAAAGGTAAGAAGAAAAGCCAGTGTCAAGTAGAGTTCTGTGAGGGTAAATAATCATGGGCAAGGGAAGACCCCGAGGGCTTAATAACTTAGAATTTAACAATACTGTTTTCCAACATCTTTTATTTCGATAGACACTGTGGAACTGTGTACTTTAGGACAAATAAAATAACTGCTTTGAACCAGTGGGTAGTAAAGATGTGAGTTTATTCCACAAGTTAATAGATGTGATAAAATTCTTTCTCCATATAGCAGCCAGGATTATCTCAGACTTGACTCTTACAACTATGGCGTATCTTCCATATTGCCATTAGCAGTAATAACAGAGGTCCAGAGCCTCCACCTTTACATTTTTGTTTCATTTCTCAAATTGTTCAGAACCCAAACAAGGTGCTATGTATGAGGAAGGGTGGGAGGCTCACAAACACACCACCAGGATCAAGATCCAAATTTGACAGGGGAAAGAATATGCAAAATCTTAATACAAGATCTTAATTCACTGGCTTTAAATTAGCATGCTTTCCAAAAACAAACTTTCAATAAGTTTCCCATAGTCAAATCTGTCAGTCCTTTCCTTTGTGATTCTTCTCCTGTTTTTATGCTTACAAAGACCTTTTCCCATACTGAAAAATATAAATTTTACTTATATTTTCTTATACTTGTTTTATGGTCGTCTATAAACCCATAAATTTAATAACTGCGAAAGCACTTTCTTCTCTCTCTTTAGAAATTAATTGGTGTACCTTGTAAGATGAGGATCTCTTCTTTTCCCTTGCAATCATTACTCCTTTTCCCCAGTACCATTTTTGGAATAACTCTTTCTTTCCTCCGTTACTTGTTAATGCCACTTTTATAATATACTAAATTCTTATTACTGCATGATATTTTATAGATTGTGTTTTCTGGAGCATGCTGCCCCACTTACTTGTCAATTCTTGTGTTGGTACCAGTGCTAAAAGGATAAACAAATCAGGCTGAAATCATGATTCATGGCCCTCTTAGAATTTGCCTTTTGGAACAGCAGGCCCCTCATCATGACCAGAGTTCCCTGCATGCCATGTGCTATCGCTGAGTGGCTCTAGGTGGATTGAATCCATCCCACTTCCTTCTAACACTGGCTCACCCCAGCTATAGAAGAAAGTAGATGTAGCTAGGGGTGTGGAGAGAGGCCAGCAAATGACAGACCAAGCATCACTTGGATAAGGGAGAAAATCCAAAACAAAGCTCTTCATCATCCTGAGTGGAAAAAAAAAAAAAAAAAAAATCCCAAAAGGTTATGAGGTACCACTTCATCTAAGTAACATTTTTGAAATAACACAATTTTAGAAATGGAGAACAGATTACTGGTTGACAAGGGATAAGGTTGGGAGGGTGGGGGCAAAAGACAGGTATGTTTGGTTATAAAAGAGCAACAGAAGGGATCCTTGTGCTGATGGAAATGTCTTATATCTTGATTATAGTGGTGGATACACAAATGTACACATGTGATAAAATTGTATGGATCCAAACATACACATACAAAATAAGTACAAGTGAAACTGAGGAAATCTGAATATGACAGGTGGATTGTTTTGATGTCAATATTCTGATGGGGATATTGTACTAGAGTTTTGCAAAATGTTACCATTGAGGAAAACTGGGTAAAGTGTAAGGAATCTCTATGTTACTTCTTACTACTGCATGTGAATCTGCAATTATCTCAAAAAAAAATTTAAGTCTGAAAAAAAGCAAAGGTCTTTCCCTCATTGTTAGTTTTGTTTTTTGCACCTGATTGGAAACCTGCCTTGAAATTGTAACATAATTGGAATCTATCTAAAGCATCACTATTTAACAGAACTTTCTGCTGTGATGGAAATACCATGTATGTATACTGGACAATACAGTGGCCACTAACACGTGACTATTGAGCATTTGAAATGTGGCTAGTGCAACTAAAGAACTGAATTTTAAATTGTATTATTTTCATTAAATTTACATTTAAACGGCCACTCGTGGCTACTGGCTACCTTAAGAGACAGCTCAGAAATGAAATTTGACCTTATAGCCCCCTATTCCTCTGTTGTTAGTAGTAAACAGTAAGGAAGAAAATTTATTTCCCACCACTGAACTAATTTATGAACTTTCTGAGGATCCACTTCCTTACATTAAAATGAGGATAATAAGATGCATCCTGACGAGTTACTCTGAGTGTGCGAAAGGGCTGCAAAGCCCCCTGGCACCTTTACACTGCAGGACCTGGATACAGGTAATTCTGTGACTCCGCAAGCGTCTGCGGAAGTAACCCTGTGATGATTTAGTTGCCCACTGTTAGTGAAAACCAGCCAAGGATAAGCCAGGAGGTTCGCTTTCCATACTTAGAGGAGAAATCAGCACACACTTGATCCCTCGTCATGCTCTCCCAGCTTATTCCACGTCTCTGGTTCCAAAGACTTCAGTCCAAGTGATATTTTTTAAAACACCAGAAAAAGGCTGTACAAATGCCCCATGTCTTCAAGCGCAACTGTGAAGAGTTGACATGGGGGAATGCGAAGGAAAAACTCTTGGAGAACCAGAGATAAGGGTTCAGTTTAAAAGCAGTCACACAGCCAATCAGATTGATTCTCCGCTCCCAGGCGGGCAGTCCCCAGCAGCTATCAGGCTTAAGGCTTCAGGTGGTCGGTTTCGCAAAATGGCCGGGTCCCAGTTCCCGGGCAACCAAGCCCTCACGGGGCGGGGGCTGCGCCTGCGCGCTCAGCCGGGCGGCCCCGGGCGCGCGTCCTGCCAGTGCGCACCCGGCGTCTGCAGCCTCGGAGGGTCTCTCCACCGCGGGGAGACGTTCAGACGCGCGGAGCCCTTTGTACTTGGCAGCCAGAGCTGGTCTCCGACCAGGTGCCCCGCACGCACCCTACGCAGCCATGTCCTCCTACCCTCGCGTGGCGCTGGTGACCGGGGCCAACAAGGGCATCGGCTTCGCCATCGCGCGCGACCTGTGCCGGCAGTTCTCGGGGGACGTGGTGCTCACAGCGCGGGACACGGCGCGGGGCCGGGCGGCCGTGCAGCAGCTGCAGGCTGAGGGCCTGAGCCCGCGCTTCCACCAGCTGGACATCGACGACCTGCAGAGCATCCGCGCTCTGCGCGACTTCTTGCGCAAGGAGTACGGGGGCCTCGACGTGCTGGTCAACAACGCGGGCATCGCCTTCAAGAGTAAGGTGCTGCGTATTCGCAGGGGAGGCGTTCTGCCAGCGTGCCTGGATCTGTCGGAGAATCGCTGTGGTGGGGCTCCTCTGCGTTTGGGGTCCAGAATGGCTCCCTACGGAAGGAGGAGGGGTGGGGGATGGGTAAGGCTAGAGCAGAGGCAACAGAAATTGGACTGCTGTCCAGCCAGAGGGACTTTTCTATTTCCTTGGCTCCGACTCCTGGGGATCTTTTCCAGGTTATCATACAGGTTTTCTTTTTTTCTCTTTTTTTTTTTATTGCGGTCACTTTGTTTTATAACATTATATAAATTTCAGATGTACTTCATTATACTTCTAGTTTTGCATACGTTGCATCATGTTCACCACCCAAGACTAATTACAGCCATCACCACACAATGTGGTTAATCATCCCTTTTGCCCTACTCCCTCCCCCATTCCCTCTGGTAACCACTAACCCAATCTCTGCCTCTATGTGATTGATTGTTGTTGCTTTTATCTTCTACTTAAGAGTCAGATCTTATGGTATTTGACCTCCTCCTTCTGACTAATTTCGCCTAGCATAATACCCTCAAGGTCCATCCTTGTCACGAATAGCTGGATTTTATCCTTTCTTATGGCTGAGTAGTATTCCACTTTGTATATATACCACATCTTCTTTATCCACTCATCAGTTGAGGGACACTTGGGTTGCTTCCATGTCTTGGCTATAGTGAATAATGCTGCAATGAACATAGGGTGTATATGTCTTTACCCATTGGTGTTTTCATGTTCTTTGGATAAATACCCAGCAATGGAATAGTTGGATTGGATGGTAGTTCTATTCTTAATTTTTTGAGGGATCTCCATACTGTTTTCCATAGTGGCTGTACCTGTTTGCACTCCCACCAGTGGTGTATGAGAGTTCCCTTCTCTCCACATCCTCTCCAACATTTGTTGTTTCCTGTCTTGTTATAGCCATTCTGGCAGGACTAAGGTGATATCTGGTTGTAGTTTTGATTTGCGTTTCCCTGATAATGATGTTGAACATCTTTTCATGTGCCTGTTGGCCATCTGTATATCTTCTTTGGAGAAATGTCTGTTCAGATCTTTGGCCCATTTTTTAATTGGGTTGTTAGTTTTCTTGTTGTTGAGATGTATGAATTCTTTATATATTTTGGATATTAACCCCTTATCAGATGTATGGTTTGCAAATATCTTCTCCCAGTTGTTAGGTTGTCTTTTCATTTTGTTGATGGTTTCCTTTGCTGTGCAGAAGCTTTTTAGTTTGATGTAGTCCCATTTGTTTATGTTTTCTATTGTTTCCCTTGCCCGATCAGACATGGTACTTGAAAATATGCTGCTAAGACTGATGTCAAAGAGCGTACTGCTTATGTTTTCTTCTAGAAGTTTCATGGTTTCAGGTCTTACATTCAAGTCTAATCCATTTTGAGTTAATTTTTGTCTGTGGTATAAGATAGTGATCTACTTTCATTCTTTTGCATGTGGCTGTCCAGTCTTCCCAACACCATTTGTTGAAGAGCCTTTCTTTTCTCCATTGTATGTTCTTGGCTCCCTTGTTGAAAATTAGCTCCGTAGACGTGTGGGTTTATTTCTGGGCTCTCAATTGTGTTCCATTGATCTGTGTGTCTGTTTTTGTGCCAGTACCATGCTGTTTTGGTTACTATAGATTTGTAGTATATTTTAAAACCAGGGAGTGTGATACCTCCTGCTCTGTTCTTTTTTCTCAGGATTCCTTTGGCTGTTCGGGGTCTTTTGTTGTTCCATATAAATTTTAAGATTCTTTGTTCTATTTCTGTGAAAAATGTTGTTGGAACTTTGATAGGGATCGCATTGAATCTGTAGATTGCTTTAGGAAATTTGGACATTTTAACTATGTTAATTATTCCAATCCAAGAGCATGGATATCTTTCCATTTCTTTGTGTCTTCAATTTCTTTCAACAATGTTTTATAGTTTCCAGTGTACAGATCTTTCACCTCTTTGGTTAAGTTTATTTCTAGGTATTTTATTCTTTTTGTTACAATAGTAAATAGGATTGTATTCTTAATTTCTCTTTCTGCTAATTCATTGTTAGTGTATAGAAACACAACTGATTTTTGTATATTGATTTTGTATCCTGCAACTTTACTGAATATTGGTTTATTATTTCTAAAAGGTTTTTTTATAGTAATTGGCTTTTTTTTTTTTTAAGGAATATTGGCCCTATGCTGACATCTGTTGCCAATCTTCCTCTTTTTTTCTTTTTTCTCCCCAAAGCCCCAGTGCATAGTTGTATTATCATAGTTGTAGAGTTGTAGTTCTTCTATGTGGGACGCTGCCTTAGCATGGCTTGATGAGTGGTGAGTAGGTCTGCGCCCAGGATACGAACCAGTGAACCCCGGGCCGCTGAAGTGGAATGTGCCAACTTAACCACTGCGCCACCGGGCCAGCCCCTCTGAAAGTTTATTTGGTGGATTCTTTAGTGTTTTCTATATATAAAGTGATATCATCTGCAGATAGTGGCAGTTTAACTTCTTCCTTTCCAATTTGGATCCCTTTTATTTCTTTTCTTGCCTGATTGCTCTGGCTAGGGCTTCCAATACTATATTAAATAGGAGTGATGAGAGTGGGCCTCCTTGTCTGGTTCCTGTTCTTAGAGGGATAGCTTTCAGTTTTTCTCCATTGACAATAATCAGTGCATTTGTCATATATGGCCTTTATTATGTTGAGGTACTTTCTTTTTATACCCATTTTATTCAGAGTTTTCATCGTAAATGGAAGTTGTATCTTGTCAAATGCTTTCTCTGCATCTATTGAGATGATCATGTGATTTTTATTCTTCATTTTGTTAATGTGGTGTATCATGTTGATTGATTTGCAGATGTTGAATCATCCCTGCATCCCTGGAATAAATCCCACTTGATCATGGTGTATGATCTTTTTAATGTACTGTTGTATTCAATTTGCTAGTATTTTGTTGAGGATTTTTGCATCGATGTTCATCAGTGATATTGGCCTGTAATTTTCTTTTTGTGTTGTCTTTGTCTGGTTTTGGTATCGCAGTAATGTTGGCTTCATAGAATGAGTTAGGAAGCTTCCCCTCCTCTGCAATTTTTTGGAAAAGTTTGAGAAGGATGGGTATTAAGTCTTCTTTGAATGTTTGGTAGAATTCACCAGGGAAGCCGTCTGGTCCTGCACTTTTATATTTTTGGATGTTTTTGATTACTTTTTCAGTCTCCTTACTGGTGATTGGTCTAGTCAAATTCTCTATTTCTTCTTGATTCAGTTTTGGAAGGTTGTATGATTCTAAGAATTTATCCATTTTTTTTCTAGATTATGCAGTTTGTTGTCACATAGCTTTTCATAGTATTCTCTTATAATCTTTTGTATTTCTGAGGTGTCTATTGTAATTTCTCCTCTTGCATTTCTAATTTTATTTATTTGAGCCTTCTTTCTTTTTTTCTTCGTGAGTCCAAGTAAAGTTTTGTCAGTTTTGTTTATCTTTTCAGAGAACTAGCTCTTGGTTTCATTGAGATTTTTCTATTGTTTTTTTAGTCTCTATTTCATTTACTTCTTTTCTTTTTTTTTGTGAGGAAGATCAGCCCTGAGCTAACATCTGCCAATCCTCCTCTTTTTGCTGAGGAAGACTGGCCCTGGGCTAACATCTATGCCCATCTTCCTTCACTTTATATGGGACGTCGCCACAGCATGGCTTGACAAGTGGTGTTGTTGGTGCACGCCCGGAATCCGAACCCTGGGCTGCTGCAGTGGAGCGCAAGCACTTAACCTCTGCACCACCAGGCCAGCCCCTATTTCACTTATTTCTGCTTTGATTTTTCTTTCTTCTACTGATTTTGGACTTTGTTTGTTCTTCTTTTTCCATTTCCTTTAGGTGCATTCTTAGATTGTTCATTTGGGATTTTTCTTATTTGTTGAGGTAGGCCTGTATTGCTGTAAACTTCCCTCTTAGAACTGCTTTTGCTATCCCATAAATTTCGACATGTTGTATTTTCATTTTCATTTGTCTCCAGGTATTTTTTGATTTCTCCTTTGATTTCTTCATTGACCCAATCCTGGTTCAGTAGCATTTTGTTTAATCTCCACATATTTGTGGCTTTTCTGATTTTCTTCGTATAGTTGATTTTTAGTTTCCTACCATTGTGGTCTGAAAAGATGCTTGGTGTTATTTCAGTCTTCTTAAATTTATGGAGACTTGTTTGGTGGCCTAATATGTGATCAGTCCTGGAGAATATTCCATATGCATTCAAAAAGAATGTGTATTCTTCAGTTTTTGGATGGAATGTTCTGTATATATCTACTAAGTCCATCTGGTCCAGTGTGTCATTTAAGACCAATGTTTCCTTTTTGATCTTGTTTGGATGATCTATCCATTGGTGTAAGTGGAGTGTTAAAGTCCCCTACTATTATTGTGTTACTGTCTATTTCTCTTTTTATGTCTGTTAATAATTGCTTAATGTATTTAGGTGCTCCTATATTGGGTGCCTAGATACTGACAAGTATTATATCCTCTTGTTGGATTGTTCCCTTGATCATTATGTAGTGCCCTTCTTTGTCTCTTGTTACAGTTTTTGTTTTAAAGTCTATTTTGTCTGATATGAGTATGCTATCCCAGCTTTCTTTTCATTGCTGTTTGCGTGGAGTATCTTTTTCCATCCCTTCATTTTCAGTTTGTGAGTGTCTTTAGGTCTGAAGTGTGTCTCTTGTATGCTGCATATATATGGGTCTTGTTTTTTTATCCAGTCAGCCACCCTATGTCTTTTGATTGGAACATTTAGTCCATTGACATTTAAATTAATTTTTGATAAGTATGTACTTATTAGCATTTTGTTACTTTTTTTCTGGGTGTTTTAGTAGTTGTTCTCTGTTCCTTTCTTCTTCTCTTGCTCTCTGCCCTTGTGGTTTGATGGCTTTCTTCAGTATTATGTTTGAGTTCCTTTCTCTTAGGATTTTGTGTATTTATTATAGGTTTCTGGTTTGTGATTACCATAAGGTTCATATGTAATAACCTACATACATAGCAATCTATATTAAGTTGATGGTCTCTTTAGTTTGACCTCTTGCTAAAAGCTCTACTCTTTTACTCCTGTCTTCCTACATGTTTTGTTTTTTATATCGTATCTAACCTCCTTTTTGTGTCTGTGTATCCATTACCCTCTTATGATAGAAATAGGTAATTTTAGTGCTTTTGTCTTTTGACCTTCATATTCTCTTCATAGATGGTTGATCTGCTACCTTTACTGTATTTTTACCTTTACTAGTGATTTTATTGCTTTTGTTTGTTTGTTTATTTAGAATTTTCTTATTCCTGTTTGTGGTCTTTTCTTTCCCCCTAAATAAGTCTCTTTAGCATTTCTTGTAAGACTGGTTTCTTGGTGATAAACTCCTTTAATTTTTGGTTGTCTGGGAAATTCTTTGTCTCTCCTTCCATTCTCAATGATAACCTTGCTGAGTAGAGTATTCTTGGCTTAGGTTTTTTCTTTTAGCACTTGAAATATATTATGCCACTCTCTTCTAGCCTGTAAGGTTTCTGTCAAGAAGTCAGCTGATAGCCTTATGGGATTTCCTTTGTATGTAACTTGTTGCCTTCTCTTGCGGCTTGTAGGTTTCTGGCTTGTAGGTTTCTCTCGTTATCTTTAATTCTTGACATTTTAATTGTGATGTATCTTGGTTTGGGCCTCTTTGGGTTTATCTTTTTTGGTGTTCTCTGTACTTCCTGTACCTGGATGTCTGTTTCATTCCTTAGGTTAGGGAAGTTCTCAGCTATTATTTCTTCAAATAGATTCTCTGCCCTTCTGTCTCTCTCTTCTCCTTCTGGGACACCTATAACACGGATGTTAGTGCACTTGATGTTGTCCCAGAGGTCCCTTAGACTGTCTTCATTCTTTTTAATTCTTTTTTTCTTTTATCTGTTCAGCTTGGGTGATTTCCTCTAGTCTTTCATGTAGCTCGCTTATCTGTTCTCCTGTATCCTCTGCTCTGCTTTTGAGTCCCTGTAGTGAATTTTTCATTTCCAGTATCGTTTTCTTTATTTCTGATTCGTTCACTTTTATACTGTCCATTTCTTGTTGAAGTTCTCACTGTACTAATCTATTCTTCTCCCAAGATCAGTGAGCATCCTTCTGACTCTTTGTTTGAACTATTTGTCGGGTAGATTGTTCTTTTCTGTTTCATTTAGTGCTTTTTTGGGGGTTTTATCCTATTCCCTTAGTTGGAACGTATTCCCTTGCTTCCTCATTTTGTCCCTTTCTCTGTGCTTGTAGCTATGTATTAGATAGGTCAGCTACATCTCCTGATTTTGGAGAGGTGACCTTAGGTAAGAGATGCTTTATGAGGTCCAGCAGTGTGCTTTCCTCTTGTCGTCAATTCCAAATGCTCCAGTGTTGACCCCTTTGGGGGCTACATGTGTCCTTCTGTTGTGGTGGGGTTGCTCTTGCCGTAGGTGCCCTGGGAGGCTAGGCTGTCCCACTGGCCCCCTGGCTGTAATGCTCAGCTGTGTGTAGCTGCTCTGGTCCCTTCAGTCCCTTTATCGGGTGTGGGGAGCCCCAGGACAGTTGGCTGCAAGGTCTAATAGCACATTCCTGTTGCACTTTTTCTGTTAAGTGAGTAGGCCCCCAGTGTGGCTGGTTGCTAGGCTCAGGGGCTTACAATTGCTGTAGGCTTCTGGCCTATAAGGCTTTTGTCAGCTGTCTCAGGATGGCAGCTGAGAGGGGTTGGCCTCAGGCACAGGAGCACCCAATTGTTTCAGGCTTTGGAAGGTGGGGCCAATCCCCTATGTGGCTGTTTGAGAAGCACAAGTCTTCTGCAGCTGACAAGACCCATAGCCCACAGGGTCACACACACCGTCAACACAGTCCTGCCCAGTGCTTGCACCCTGACCCCCTGAAGTGGACCCAGTCACCCCATTGCAGAGGCCCCACACACTCCACCAATGCCCCACACACTCTACGGGATCCGAGTGCCCGCCCTGCCCCACAGAGGTGAACCCACTCCCCTGGCTACAGAGGATCCAGGCACCAGCCTATGCAGGCCCAAATTTGCCCAAGAGCTTGCTGTTGGGTCGGGCCAGTCCCTAGTGTGGGCTGTCTGCCCTGGCTGAACTGGATTAAATTGGTGCTCTAGTGGGTGGGGCAGATACTGGGCTAACAACCCGGGGGAAGAACTCCTATGGCGTCTGCCAGCGTCTGTGTCAGCATGCCCGTACTAGGTCACAATAATGGCAGCTGCCAATGTCTCAGTTCCTAGAGAAATCTCACCTCTCACTGAGATGCACTCAGAGCCTATCAGCTGAGTCTCTTTTCCCCAAAGGACTGTGCACCTTTCTTTCTGGTGATCTTAGGTTGCTTTCCAAAATGGGTGAATTTGTGCATGGGCTCTTTAAGAGCCAGATTTTTCCCCCTATGTCCGGTAGCTTTTCTGGAAGTATTGCCTGTTGTTGTCAGTAGCCAGCAAACCCCAGATATTATGACACTCATCTCGGTTGTGCTGAGTCCAAAGGATGCTTATAGCGGTAAGGCTCCCCAGCTCAGGTCCCCCACTCCTCCAGGGAAGGCTGCATACCTTTGGATTGCTCCTGGGTGGCTGTGAATCGCTGCGGCTTGTGATAGTGGCTTTTTTTCTCTCCAGAAAGGAATTTCTGCCTCTTCCATCTCAGTCAGCACTGTTCATTGTTGCGGGCGTTCTTTTTATCCAGTTTTCAGTTCTCTCTCAGGGGTAATTGTTCCAAGGGTATTTGTAAATTAGTTGTGTCCATGGGACGAGGTGAGTTCAGAGTCCTCCTACGCTCCCATGTTTACCTCACTCCACCCACACAGTTTTTCTCTGATTGGACTTGAGGGCAGTTGCCTGAATTTTTAATGCATTTTAAAACGAACAAGAAAATTGCACAAACTTGTACACAGAGATCCCATGTGTGGATCCTTAACGGAACATTGTCAAACTGGCAAATTGTCATTGGTACAGTACTATTAACTAGCTGCCAGTTTTACAAAAGTTCACTAAATTTTACATGCACGATTTTTAAAATATAGTTCTCTGGAATTTTACCACATGGTAAACTACCACATGACTACTGTTTATTAACTCTACTCTCCTTCTCCCCTAAAAGTTCATGATTCCACACCGTTTCATATTCAAGCAGAAGTGACAATGAAAACAAACTTTTTTGGTACCCGAGATGTCTGCATGGAGCTACTGCCTCTCATAAAACCCCAAGGTGAGTCTGATGAGGAGCCCAAGCTGCAGTGTTTCTGGCATGATCTGGGCCTCCCTGTCTGTGAGCTCATCTAGAAGCCCCTGCTACCTCCCCCTGCTCACTGGACTCCTTGTTGTGTCTCCACTGGGCCAGGTGCCCTTCTGTCTCAGGCTCTGTACACACTTGTTCAGTGGTCATTGGTGCACACTGTTTCACTGGTTTTGTACAACTGATATTATCCTTCAGGTCATTGTTCAAAAGTTACCACAGAGAAGCCCTTTACTTGCTCTGTGCCCCTCACATGTTAGAGTTCCCTGAGTCTTCCATCCCAGACCCTCCCTCCCCCCACCCCCTCTTTCAGAGTGATCTTATTCAGGCTAGTGGAGACTTCACTCCCCCCATTTTATTAGCCCACCCCCAAATCTTTCTCTGAGTCTGATGTAGTGTATTATATTTATTGGTTTTTAGATGCTAAACCAACTGTACATATGTGGGATAAATATCACTTAGTCCTTACAAGTTCAAGAGATTCCCACGACCACCCTCAGGTTCAGTAATTCACCAGAAGGACTCAGAACTCAGCAGAGCTGTTATACTCAAAATTACAGTGTATTATCAAAATAGAGACAGATTCAGATCAGCAACGGGTAAAGTCTCTTAGGCTGGGGTCCAGGGAAGACCAGGCATGGAGGCTTCTAGTTGTCCTCTCCCAGTGGAGTCCTGCATACAGCATATATTTCTCCCAGCAATGATGTGTGAAAGTGCACGTGGAGTATTGCCAACCAGGGAAGCTCATCCTGCCTCGATGTTTGGCATTTCTGTTAGGGGTTGGTCACGTAGACATGGCCCATCGCCCTTACTCCCCAGCCCTTCCAGAGGTCCAGCTGATAGCTGGTAACCCAAAGTTGCCCCATAATCACATTGGTAGCATCGATTCTGTAGCCTGACCCTAGACCCCCAAATAAACGCACTCAGTCTTATCAGGCAGGACATTCCAAAGGTTTAAAGATTATCTTCCAGTAGCCCTGGGCCAAGGGCCAAACCTTTCTTTGACCAAGCTTAATCCTTTGCTTTCACAAGCCAGGCCCTGGTCCTTTGCCAAGGCTCTCTTACAGCAAAAGGATCACTGAGCATCTACATTTAGTAGAGAATTTATGTAACACATACAGCAATCATATCAGAAATATGCTTAACATTTGGAGGAGCCAGTGTGGGGTAGGAATAGATTTAAAGGAACAGATAATCCGTCCCATAAAGCCACTCCATACCCGTTAATGTTTTTGTGCTAATTTGATTCTCTCCTTGATCAACTGCTATTTATACCTTATTTAGCATAGTATTTGTGCAGAACCATTTAGTATTGTTAAGACAGAAACTGAGGCATATTAAAAATTCAAGAATTTATTTGAGAAAAAGTCTATTTGAATTAGGAAGCACCAAACGGGAAGTGGTTAGGAGCACCCCACCACTTTTATAGAAAAAAGGCGGGAGCAAAGTAAGGAAATAATTGGGCTATAGCTCAAGCCCAGTTGGCTGTTTGTGATTGGTGGTCCTTAGATTTCATTTTTGTAACCTTGAGGCATTTACAGGCTTAGATTTTGGTTTGCTTGATAGGCCACCACAGCATTGGAACCACCTCAGTCTAATGGGCTCCTTGTTTAATTAATTCAGTTGATGGTTAAATTTAGCTGATGGTTAGCTAAATTCAGTTCTTCATTACATGTGATAGTTAAATATTACCAACAAGGCCAGTGTTATGCCATATCACAGTACGGTGGTACATGTAACCTGAAAGATAAGAATCAAGAGATGCTGGCACATTGCTAGAGTCCCACTCAGTCATTAACCATCGGTTCAGTTCATCACCATATCGTATGACCATATGTCACAGAGTGATGCCACTCAGGTTCTCAGGCTTCCGTTTGACCTTGTCAGGTCCTGAAAGCAGGAGTGCTCTTAGCAACATGTGGTTTCACATTTTGAGGCGTCTGGGGTATAGTGCAGCTAAGAGACGATACCATATCTTGCTCTGAGCATCTCAAGACACCAATGTAATATTGGATTTCTCTTGTTGCATAACCCATTTATTCATTCCTTTATCCTAGTCTACCATTCTTCCTTCTCCTCTTTATCATTGACTTTTTTTTTTTAATAATTTTATTTATTTTTTTTCCCCCAAAGCCCCAGTAGATAGTTGTATGTCATAGCTGCACATCCTTCTAGTTGCTGTATGTGGGACACGGCCTCAGCATGGCCAGAGAAGTGGTACGTCGGTGCGTGCCCGGGATCCGAACCCAGGCCACCAGCAGCGGAGCGCGCTCACTTAACTGCTAAGCCACGGGGCAGCCCTATCATTGACTTTTACCCAAACTTTTTCACCTTTCAGAGGGCTGTCAGGTTCAGTCACTGTGCCGATCTTGATTGCCTGCAGCAAAGGCAACTAGTCTAACAAGTGCCTTCCCTTCAGTCCATTCCCATTCATATCGGGTAGGGTTGGGTTGCATAGGTCCAGAACTAGTGGACTATCTCGACCACTAGGCAATACTGCTGCATTCACTGTCACTCCAGTTTTGCCAGATGGGGTGAAGGCACAATCCACTTCATCAGGCCCTTAGGAATTCTGACATGAAGATTTAAAGCTATAGTTACAAGTTCTTGCTTAGGGATTATTCCTGCTCCCCATATCTGCAGTTGCAGCCCTGGTGTCAGGACTACTGTGTCAGGTAGGAAAAAAGAAAGTTGACGTGATGTGGGGAAGAATCATACAGTCACCCCAGCCCTTCTTCCCCAGATCCCACTGGCAAAACAGAAGAATCTATCTTGTGGGGAATCTCTCTTGGCTCCCCTCATGTTGAGTGTGAGCACATGCTCATCAATGTGTGTAAGCCAGCTGTTCATACCTTTATCTCCTCATGTTTGAGACAACCAGTGTTTCAATTGCCCATTCCAATTCTCTATCAAACCTACTGCTCTGAGGATAAAAGTGTGTTACTTGGTCTGCATAGATGTAATCTGTCAGTCTAAATTGATACAGTATCTTCTGTTCCAGTCCTGCTATACTACTTGAACATTTGCATCTACTTCTGGGTATGCAAAGCCTGGTCCGGAGATAGTGTCTCCTTTTGTCAGGACCCATTTGTAGCCTCCCAGGGCTATTACCTTCAACTCGACTTGCCAGCTATGTGCAGGGCCTTCCCCTTGGGGAATCTCTCTCATAACCATCTTCAGTCTTTGTCTCTCTTGCTGGCCGATAGAATGGTTGTTGGCATTTTGTGCTTCACAGAGTGTAAGAGTCACGTTGACAATTATCGCATTGCTTACTGCAGCTCCCCATTTCCACCTATCTCATGGACCAAGGTGGCCACTTCAAAGAAACATACCAGGATATCCACTTGCTGGTTCCAATACCCTTCCAGTTCTGGAAGTGGTTCTTCTGATGGGCATTGACTGACTTGTCCAACTTTAATTTCCCTCTAAATTCCTATAGTTGTTTCCATAGGGCCATGCCCTATATGAGCATCCCTTTAATTGTTCTGTTTTCCACTGCCCCTCTCCGTCACTATATGCCAGGCCATTAGTCACTGTTCCTGAGTGGATAAAAACCCAAACATAGAGAAAACAGCATGCAGTTCAACCCACTGAGCTGATCTGCTTTTACCTTCCTCCATCAGAGTGGCAGCCTTCCAAAGCAGATGCTGTCCATTCACCTAGGAGCTGCCATCCATAAACCAGGCAGCTCTTTGTTGGTCCAGAGAAACCTGATCATAGAGCACTGCCCAAGTGACCATAAGATCCTCAGGTGGTCCCAAAGGCAGCCTTTGACACTAATGAGTACCTCCTTACATTCGTCTTAGCATGTTCCTGTATAAACCATTTTCATTTTCTTATGGAACTTCTGGGCAGTACCCTCCCCATTAAAACATTTCTCTGAGATCATCCGAGACATGGGTAAAACAAGCTTCAAGATTGTATTATGTCCTTCACTCATAGAGGCAGTCTTACCTAATGCTCATGGCAAACTGGTAATTGTCTCTCAAATGGAAGTTTTGTCATCCAAAATCCCAGCGAATTTGGTATTCATTATTCTTGTGCATCCCTTTCTACATAACGATTTCTGTTATATTTTAGGCAGAGTGGTTAATGTGTCTAGCACTGAGAGTCTCAGAGCTCTTAAAAACTGCAGCCCAAAACTGCAGGAGAAGTTTAGAAGTGAGACCATCACGGAGGAGGAGCTGGTGGGGCTCATGAATAAGTTTGTGGAGGATACGAAGAATGGCATGCACATAAAGGAAGGCTGGCCTAACACCGCGTATGGAGTGACGAAAATTGGCATCACCGTCCTGTCCAGAATCCATGCCAGGAAACTGAGTGAGGAGAGGAGAGGGGACAAGATCCTCCTGAATGCCTGCTGCCCAGGGTGGGTGAGAACCGACATGGCAGGACCAAGAGCCACCAAAAGCCCAGAAGAAGGAGCAGAGACCCCCGTGTACTTGGCCCTTTTGCCCGCAGATGCTGAGGGGCCTCATGGAGAGTTTGTTACGGAGAAGAAAGTAGAACAATGGTGAGTTCAACTCATAGCTCCCGTGGGCCCCATTATACTACGTGCCCTGATTTGATCAAAATGGAACACTGGCAAAAATATCCCTATCCAAAAGTAAAAAAAGAAGAGGAAGAATCAAAATATCCCTATTGAGCACTCATTTTGACTTGGCTACAAATTCTGCGAAGTCTTTTGTGATTTCCTCTGTGCTAGAGGGTGAGAAAAAATAGAATCAATGACAATGAATGAAAATCAATAGATGAATAAATGGTTCTTTATAAATGTGCTTTTGTGCAGATTATTTACATGCCAACCTGCTCAGAAATCTCATAGACCTAAAAGTTAGGTCAACAGAAGGACAGTACAAGCCAGGGGTCAGCAAACATTATAGAAACAGACAGTAACTACATATTTTCAGCTTTGCGGGACACGCGGTCTGTGGGAGCTACGCAGATCTGCTGAGGTAGCATCAAAGTAGCTGTAGACGAACCACAAACCAATGAGTGTGATGGGGTTTTGGCTGCCAGCTTTAGTTTACCAGCCTCTAGTATAACATGGACAACACCATGAAGGGAACATATCTGGTATGGTCTCTGTAACACCAAACTCACTGGAAAAATACGATTGCAAAGTGTGAACCCCGAGCAGGTACTCAAGATACATCCATAAGAGAATCTGAGCCAGTGGGGGATATTCAATGTGGATTGTGTGTTAGTGGACATGAGAGAGTTACTGTCAAATCTCTTCAATGCGAAAATGTGTTTTTATATAGGGAGGAAGTGTGATAAGGTCTGCAATGTTAACACAGTTGAGCAAAATGTATATGAAAGATGAACACAAAAATATAGTAAAATATTCATAATTGTTCAATCTAGTCTGGTGGATCTATGGAATATATATATATATATATATGGGATATATTCTTTCAACGTTTCTGTTTGAAAGCTTTCAAGACAAACATCTGGAAACAAAATCCTGGCTCTGTCACCTCACTCTGTGACTTTGAGCAAAACACTGCATTGTACTGTATGTCAGTACCTCAACTGTGAAACGGGGACAGTAGGCAGAGGATTGCTGTGAAGATTGAATGTCCTGATACAGGTGAAAATGTTGAAAACACAATAAAAGTGCTAAGGGTCTGCTATCATGAGTCCCTGTGACTGGGACCTGACACCACCCAGGGCAGTGATGAGAAGCTTCTTACTGCCCAACACCATCCTGTCTCCCAGTGGGCCTCAGTGAACGTCCACCACATTCCCTTCCTTCACAGAAGCACTGCATGTGGTAAAGAAGCCTCTACCACATCATGATTATTCATCCTTCTTCACCAGTGATTTTCAGGCTTACAGACATGAAAAGGGATAACCCCTGAAAGCAAGTGTAGAGCCCTTATTTTAAAGTGAGGTTTACATTACAAGTTTCTCCTTTTGACAGGGCTAATTTCCTCCCTGTTATTTTGTTTCTGTGAACCAACACCAGAGGACAACAATGTCTAGGTGGAGACCACGGCCTCTCAACTGTTTGGAAATGTATACTTGAAATTCCAAAGATGTTTTTCTCCCTAATACCTTAAAAATAACACCTAACTACACATACCGCTTATTATCTGTGACCTTGAACAATACCAAAATGTAGACACTTGTGGCAAACAGTAATTATGTAACAATTAAGTAATTTCACTGCATGTTAGGAAAAAGCAACCCTTCCAATTGTGCATGGATGAGGGGCCCAAGCCCAAGGCAATTACTCTGCACTCCTTTTTCTCCTTTTGGAATTCTCTCAAAATAGTTTCTTTAGTTCAACTGTCATGAATCTCTGGTTCCCTATTGACCCATCACCATCCAGTTTTGCTTTGGGGAGGCACACCTCTCTATCCTGCAATGGAGGATTGCAGGCTTGGCTCAGAGGTGGGGTCAAAAGACGACTGTATCCTGTTTTGGCCCCCGTGCAGCACAGAGAAGGGATGGATACAGAAGTGGAGGTATTAGGAAACCTTCTGGAATATTTGGCACCTCCTGGGAGGGAGGGACAGAGGTGGGACCTCCTTTTCAGGAAATCACAGCACTGGTCCCAGAACTCACTTCTGTGCAGCCTCTCAGACTGTGGCCAGGCCTACCCGGTGAGTGTCCCTGTGGCCCATAGCCCTGTCCGCTCTCCACGCAAGTGCTCCGCGTGCCCCCTACCCAACCATGTCCTGCACGCGTGTGGCTCTGGTGACCGGGGCCAACAAGGGCATAGGCTTTGCTATCATGCGTGACCTGTGCCGGCAGTTCTCGGGGGAGGTGCTGCTCACGGCGCGGGACACCTCGCAGGGCCAGACGGCCGTGCAGCAGCTGCAGGCCCAGGGCCTGAGCCTGCGCTTCCATCAGCTGGACATCAACCACAGGCAGAGCATCCGGACCCTGCGTGACTTCTTGCACAAGGAGTACGGGGGTCTTGACCTGCTGGTCAACAATGCGGGCATCGCCCACATGAGTAAGTGGATATGAGCTGGAAGGGGAGGCGGCCTCCATGAGGACGTCCAGGAATGATTGGTGGGGGTCTGAAATGCTGCTGGGGGGCCCTTAGCTCCTAGCTGATCTAGAACAGACTCCTGAGGGAAACAGGTCAGACTGGAGGCTACAGGGAGAGCAGAATCCTCTGAGACTTGCAAGTCTTCCCAGCAGAGGGCCTTTGCATTACCATGGAACAGACTCCCAGGGATCTCCTCCAGCTTTTCACAGTTTCTCTTGGATTGGATTTAGAGCAATTCAGTCACTTTTTAACTTATTTAGAAAAAAACAAGAAATTGTAGGAATGGTACACAGAGATTTGAGTCTGCCCCCTTCACTTAGCTCCCCTAATGGTGCTGTCTTATGACACTAAACAGTATGAACAGGCCAGGAAATTGGCATTGGTATTGGCACAATATTCTTAACTAAACAAGCCATTACTTGCAATTCACCAGATTTCACATGTAAAAAACAAAATTGCATCATCTTGGATTTTTACCACAAGTACTACTTAATTTATTAACTTTGTTTTCTCTCTCCCCTAAAAGTTCATGATTCCACACCAATTCATATTCAGGCAGAAGTGATAACGAAAACAAACTTTTTTGGTACCCGAGATGTCTGCACGGAGCTACTGCCTCTCATAAAACCCCAAGGTGAGTCTGATGAGGAGCCCAAGCTGCAGTGTTTCTCACATGATCTTGTTACCACACAAAGGGCACTATCTGCTCGCCGCGAGACAAAAGCCGATCGTCAAGAGGCAAGATGGTGGAAAAGAAAGGGCAGTTTATTACAGCTTGCTAGCAAGGGGGAAGATGGCTGACTAATGTCTCAAAGAGCCATGTTACAGAACAAAGACTACAGGCCAGTTATATAGAGGGCTGGTCTCCAAGTGGGGGAGGCATCTGGTCCCCGGGTGGGGGCATCCATCTGATTACTGAGTGGAGGCATCTGGTCCCAGGGTGGGGGCATCCATCTGGTCTTAGTTCCTGGCAGTCCTTTGTTTTACCTGGTATGCATCAGAGACTGGAGCAACACCCTATACCCTGATCTTTCAGTCGTCATTGACGATGGCTATCAGCATAGACTCTCTGCCTGGGGGTCATCGCATTCCTAAGGAACTCAAAAGAAGAAAGTTATCAACTTATAGCAGCTGGGAGGGGCCATAAAGTCCAGAGTTAGTTATAGGTCATTCCAAGTCACAATATGGATTCCCCTCTACAATATGGCTTCACTTATGTCAACTTTGTATTGAGCCGGCATCAATCTGGCCCTCCCTGCCTCTGAGCTCATCTACAAGCCCCTGCTACCTCTCCCTGCTCAGCTCACTGGACTCCCTGTTGTGTCTCCACTGGGCCAGGTGCCCTTCTTCCTCAGGCTCTGTACCCAATGTCCAGCTGTCATTGGTGCTCTCTGTCCCGCTGGTCATTGCACAACTGGCTCTTTCTTATCTTTCAGGACTTCCTTCAAAAGTCCTCAAAGTGGGGCTTTACTTGCTCTGTGCCCTCACACTGGAGTTCCTTGAGCATTCCATCCTGGACCCTCACTCCTCCTTCTCCCTCTCTCAGACTAATCTTATTCGGGCTAGTGGAGGCTTCACTACCCCCAATTCATTAGGTCCTCCTCAAATCTTTCACCTGTTTAGAAAATTTCCAAAGTTCCAGACACACATACTTGTCTTCTTGCCTCTCCATATCTTCCTGACAAACTCCCTTCCTCCCCTGAATTCTTACATCCAAAACAAACATTTTAAAAATGTACTTGTCCTTTCCCCAAATCATCTTGGTCACTGATCCCCCCCATCCACCCACCAGGATGATGGAGGTCACCATGCCTGCCCCCTTAATATCATTTACCTAGTCCTACGAGTGGTCTTACTCAGTTTTTCCCCAAGCCTTCTCTTCCATCTCAGCTCTACAACAGACCCTCAGCTGTCATTGCTGGACAATTGCAAACCCTCCTAAGGGACCTCCCATTGTGAGTCTTTTCGCGCTGGACATTCCCTGTACTCTCTGCATGCTCACTCCCCTCCTGAAAATCATTCAGGAGCAAAGTCCAAGCCCTTAGCAAGGCTTGTAGGGATCTCTGCAATCTGAACTTCCTAATGCCAGGCTAATTTTAACTCCCTTTCAATATGCTCTGTTCAGGACAAAACAAACTATCGTATTTCTGTAGCTGTAAACTCCTGTAATACTTATCCGAAGGCGATGGGATGGAGGGACCACCCATTAAACAGACCAATTAAGACAAGCAGATACTTTTAGAAGGATTGAGAGGTGTGGCTTGGAATTGAGTCCATGCCCATAAAATTTACTCACAATTCTGCCTGTTTCCCTGTCCTCTCCTCCAGGAAAGTTCTGCTACTTCTAACACTTGGTTCACTAGGGTCTCAAAGCTATTTTGCAGTCACCTGACCGCTTCACTCACCACAACACCTGAGGGCAGCAATGGGGTTCCTTGTGCCACAACCACACATTCTACAGGTATTCACCTTAGAATCATATTGATGTAATCTGGATGGGCATTTTTCTTACTTAACTGAGCTGTGTTAGTTCTTGCTGTGTCTGTGCTTGGTCCAGAAGGAGGAATGGGTACACTCACACATGTGCTAAGACAGGCTCTATGCAAACAACTGATCTTCCCTCACCA